CATTGTAGAATCCTTTCTATATAAATTGATTGATGAATAAAAATCTTGCTTTTTAAGTGCTCGAGCTACGAGTCGAGATACATTTTATTTTTTTCAAGAGATTTCATATCAAATTCTCCTTTTAGATAACTTATGGTATTTAAAATCTCTTCGGGAGTTCTAATAATATTTAAATTATCAACATATATAGCAATTATCACAAACCTATTTTTGAATTTCTTTATAAAAATATACGAATAAATATGATTATTTTTATAACCTTCTTTCAATAAATCTTTATTGAAATAATTATACCACATGCACACAGAGTTAGTAATAAAGAGTAGATATTAAAAAATATATATAAAAAGTATAGCATAAATTAAATTTCTAAAAATTAAAATAATAAAAATAATACTAAAATAATTTTAATAGAGATCTCTATAATTTAATTGAATTCATTTCATGAAAATACGTATTATATCTTTCGAGCATCTTAAGTCCTTCTAGGACTTTCATAATGATATCATTTCAAATGAGCAAATAGACTATGATTATATTTATTAAATGCATGCATATGAATTTTTTTCATATATTTTGTCGAGCTAATGAGATAACAAAATATAACTCGCATCCATTATAGAAAAATATGTCTTTTCATAGTCAATGTCGGTTCTTTGCAAAAACTCTTGTGTAGAAAATCTTACTTTGTATCTTACAATCTCATCTTTCTTATTTCATTTTCACATAAATACACATTTGTATCCCACTAGCTTAACATCTTCGGGTGTTTTAACTATGGATTCAAAAAATTACTCATTTGTAAGAGAACATAATTCGCACTGGATTGCTCTTTTCATTTAGGCCAATCATTTTTATGTTGATATTTTTCAATAGATTTAGGCTCATGATCCTTATTTTCATCAAGATATGAATTGAAACATTATATGCAAAAATCTTAATAATAAATGTTTCTTTTTGGTCCTATTTTCTCTTAGTATTGATATAATTTATCAAAATCTTTTGATTTTTCTTAGGCATTTGAACTTCTTCCGAAGCTATTATCAAAAATATCTTAGATCATTTTATGAATATTTGCATCATTTATTTTAATTATTTTTCCTTTTCTTTTGAGGATTTTTGCTTTTAGAATCGATCGATCTTCCACGCTTCAAGTGTGCTTTAGATTCATTAGCTATGACATTAATAAATTGTCCTTGTAGGACATCAATCCTAATAGAAGCATTCTCGGTGAGGACATGCATTTTAGTTACTTTTATAGGATCCGAGAATGCATCTAGTAGTTAATTTATAATACCTTGTAAACAAATTATCTACTAAACTTCTAGTTCATATTGTTTTATACTAAGTTGATATAAAGATAGAGTACTCCATGTTATCTCTTTTTTTAACATTTTTAACCGCTTATTTTGTTTATTTTCTCTCCCTAATGTTAGCAAAACTGTTTCATTAAAATGACGAGTCGATAAATCGAGTTGTAAAAATATCTCTTATTCATGGTTCAAGATATTTAATTATCGAAAATGATTCAAATCCAATATATATTTTTAATCTCCTTTAAGTACTCATTTTAATTTATTATAGAGGAGCAATGCGGATATATACGATAATGTCAAAAAAATTCTTAAATAAAAAATATTTGGCTCATGACCATAAATCAATTAAAGGAGGGAGAATTTCGATAACTTATGGGTCCGATACGAATAAGTGCTACTGCATGTAAGATTGCATGTCCCTAAACATAAACAATGAGTTTTGTTTTTATAAATAATGGTTTAGCTATCGATTGAAACCTTTTGATAAATAATTATGCTAAACATTTTTTAGTATAAATATAAGCAACGAGGCTATTCAATCTTTATTCTAATAACCAATCAATGATAATTTAATACTTGAGAAATAACTTCATCGAATTATCAAGATGACTTGTTTTAATAGCATAATCTAAAAATTATGCTCGAAATCAAATTATTTGCTAGCAATCTAAAAAACGTCATGTTTTAAGTAAATAATAAGCATATATGTGACCATTGTATGGATGTATTTATTAAAATCATAAAATATCTAAATGGTTCACATGATTGATGAATTGATTTGCATATATGATCACCTTGAATATATTCTAAAAATACTAGAGATTCAATTTTAATTTTACTTGGAGATGGCTTAATAATCAATTTACTTTGAAAACATGCAAAACATAAAAATTCATTAAATTGAAGAATCTTATGGCTCTTCAATAGATATCCGTATGAACTTTTAATAATTTTTTGCATCATGAAAGACCCGGGATAACACAACTCGCTCATGTCACATAATAAAAATATTGAATTAATAAACTTTTGGTTTAATATAGCATTTGTTTCAATCATTTCAATATTTATAATAAAGACTAAAAGAGAAAACGGATAAATTTTTTAACACATAATTTCTATCCCGTATAATGATTATAATATATAAGTATTCACATTTGTTATCTTGATATGATATCAGTTTAAATGAATATATTTGAAACTCAATAAATTTCTTTAAGACTTTGAAGAGAATAGTAAATCATTTATAATAAAATTTATCCTTTCGGATAATAACATGTTTACTCTTCCGGAGCCTTTAAATTATGTCACTTCAAGTAATAATATATCGACTCTTCTAAAGCCTTTAAAAGTTGTTTGTTCAAGTAATAATATATTCACCCTTCTAGAGCTTCAAAAATGTGTCTTTTCGAGTCATAATATAATTGCTCTTCTAAATCTTTTTGTTAAATTGATATTATCAAGTATAATATTAACATAAAATAAATAAATTCATCATAACCACAAATATATATAGCAAAATAAATTTATCATTATCTTTATGCAATAAAAATTATAAGAAATATAAAACATCTTATTTATAAATAGAAAAGCTAACAAGTTATAAATTTCAATTACCTCCATTTTGATATATAAAATTGGCCTCTATATTTTACTATTTTCTTTTTCAACAAGGCTTGATAAGGCTTAATAAGATGCTTTTGTATACGGCGGTACACGACTAATGTCCATTCATAAAATATCTATAACATTAACTTTCGAATACTGATTTTATCTATTTTTATTCTTTTTTTTCATAATTATTCACTTATGGTGGTGAGATGTAATATTATGATTATCACGATTATAATGATAATTATTCCGATCACGTCCATGGTTATGATCACGTCTTCGCCCATGTCTAAAATTATTATAAATTATCACATTCATTTCGGAGAATGGAGTAGATCCAATTGGACAAGATTTATTCTTTTTCATCAATAACTTGTTATTTTATTTAGCCACGAGCAAATATGAAATCGATTTAGAATATTTCTTAAACTCATTTTCTCGATAAGCTAATGTAGGAGCATATTCGAGACATGAAAAGTGAAGAATATTTACTCGGCATCAAACACTCATAATCAATAATTCTTGCCCAAAATGTCATCAAACACTCATGATCAATAATTCCTACCCAAAATGTCCAAAGTCACAAAATAAAGTTTTGTCAAGTTTGATATCATAAAAATTCTATAATGCAAAGTATAATAATAATATTAAGAAATAAAAACAAAATATAATGATAAAATTTAAATAAAAATGAACATAATAATTAAATTTAAACTTTTTTAAAAATATATATTAGATTATTAAATTCTATATATTAAATCCTTTAAGTTTTTAAAATGTATATTCTATGCATCATTAGATTTAAGTGCGTATATTCTATGCATCATTAGATTTAAGTGCATGATAAATTAGATACATATCTCTTAATGATTTAAATAATTTAGATCTTTTAGTAGAGCGATTGTATAGAAAAAATTGAATGATTGAAACAAATGATTAAGTCTTTTGGTAGATACATACCTCATGGTTTATTATTTCGATTGATAAGAGCTTTGTACTAATAATGTATTATGAAAGAAATAACAACAATAGTATAATTGAAAAGAAAGATGATAGAAAAATGAATTCACTATAAGATAACATAAATACAAGAGATAACAATTTTAAATAATTTCTCAATCTCTACAAAATACTTGTGCATAAATTAATGAACAATCAAGCCTATTTATAGGCTTCAAGATTAGGAAGAGAACTTAAAAGGATTATGAACCATTAAAAGATACATAAATAATTGAATAAATTGCATCACCCTTTCAATTTCTCATATTGAATGGTGAATTGAATCATATGAATAGTGAGGAATATGAAATGGACATTTATTATTTCATAACGAGTTTTATAAATATTTAAAAATGATGCTCGGACTAAATATTGTAAATATATGTGTGTGATTTAAAAATTAACTATTGAATATAAAATATAATAAAAAATTCAATCCAAATATATATATAAAAGTCTAAAATAAGATTTAAGTTTACGGTGGTAAGTGGAGTAAGATTTTGAGTTTTATTTTTTAATACAAAATCCTTGAATTGACCTTTATATTTGTGCCAATTATTTATTTTTATCCTTGTATCCTTGTATTTTTTTTAATTCATTCAATTGACTTGAGAGCTAACTTTGATCAAATTTCTATGTTAACTACACAATTATGTGGTAGCTAAATGATTTTTGCTATGAGATATTTATTTATATGGGGCCTATATCACCCAATACAATATCTTCGATTTATTTTTCTAAAACAATTTATTAATATATTTATTTATTTTTTTAAGACAATTTATTTGATGATATAACCTATATAGACGATAATAATAATAATAATAATAATAATAATGTTATATCCGCATGCATAGTAGAATTAAGTTAGAGTTAAATCAATCATAAAGTGATTAGGGAACATTATTAGCAAAAAATTATATTCCTCACTTTGCTCAAATAGACCTTGAACCCTAAGAGGAGGTGGAAATACGAGTCAATTCCAGTTGTTTTATTAAATAGATCCGATGACCTTTCTTCACACTCAATAGATCAATATAAAAACACAATCCAGGTTAATCGCTTGTGGGTAAAGAAATGAAGAAGAATGAGAGAAATGGATTGGATCCCAAAAATCAGTTAGGAGTAGTTGTTATACATGAAACACATACATGCAAGTGATAAATATGTACAATAAAAAAAAAAAAAATTACACAAATATCTCAAATAAAAAATAAATAAAAATAAAAAGATTTACAAATATTTAAGTTTTTATCAAATAAAAAAAAAAAAAAAAATACCAAAGATGTGCGTGCAAGGCGTTTGACAAATCGGCAGACCATGATGCAACTTAGAAGGATGCGGAAGAGTCACCATTGAACCAACAAATCCAGACAACATGCAACATCTGAAAAAAAAAAAAAAAAATTAATATCATCAATAACCATAAGCAAACATAACGAAAGTAATATTTTATATCTGTTTACCTATGATTATGATTAGCAGCAATTTACAAAGATTGGATGAATAAACAAATAATGCAGAAAAATTGTCATTGAGAAAATAGCGGAGAACTCAATAGCGCAATCAATGAAGTAGATAGTGTTCTTTTAAAGCATGATGAAACGTTGAACCTGATGGAACAAAACACAAACCAAACTATCACCGGCCAACTATCCCTCATGGTTTATACACACACATATCATACGTGCAACTTATACTATACATAAATAAAATATTTTTATATTTTGCAAGTATTCAAAAGAAAATAACATAGCTGGAGTTATGCCACTAGAAAAATATAAATTCAAAACACAATCTAATGAAGAAAAAGATAATGGATTGAAATAAATCAGGTGAATGATTTTAGAATTCAAAATTGATTTTTAAATGTGAAGCAAACACTCGTATACTTAAAAAATTGATTTTTAAATGTGAAAAAAGCACTCATGCACTCAAAATATTTAAACATTAAATGAATACTCACTTATTCGAAATGCTAATTTTTTTTAAAGCTTGAAACACACATTAACGTACTCAAAGGATTGGTTTAACAAAATGTAAAGCTAACACTTACATACTCAAATGATTAATTTTAAAAATATAAAATAAATACTCGGATTGATTTTTAGAACGTGAAACGGACACTTAAGTACTTGAAAGATTGATTTTAAAACTTGAACCGAACACTCATTTATGTGTAACTCATACTACACACATAGATAAAAATATTTTTTATATTTTGAAAGTATTCAAATGAAATTAACATAGGTGAAGTCATGCCACTAAAAAAATCATAAATTTAAAATACAATCTAATGAAGAAAAAGATAGTGGATTGAAACAAATCACTAAAGATGAATTAATTTTAGAATTCAAAATTGATTTTTAAATGTGAAACAAACACTAATATACTTAAAAAAAAATGATTTTTAAGTGTGAAAAGAGCGCCTATTCACTCAAAATATTTAAGCATGAAACAAAAATTCACTCGAAATATTGAAATTTTTTTAAGGCTTGAAACACACACTCACGTACTCAAAAGATTGATTTTAAAGATATGAAACTAACACTTACATACTCGAATGATTAATTTTAAAAATATAAAATAAACACTCATATTGATTTTTAAAACGTGAAACGAACATTCATATATTTGAAATTTTAATTTTAAAACTTGAACTAAACACTCATATACGTGAAACTCATACTACACACATAAATAAAAATATTTTTATATTTTGGAAGTACTCAAATGAAAATAAGTAGCTGAAGTTATGCCACTAAAAAATCATAAATTCAAAACACAATCTAATGAGAAAAAAGATAGGAGATTGAAACAAATCACTAAAGGTGAATTGATTTTAGAATTCAAAATTGATTTTTAAATGTGAAGCAAATGCTTATGTACTTAAAAAATTGATTTGTAAATATGAAAGAAGCACCCATGCACTCAAAATATTTAAACATGAAACAAACATTCATTTACTTGAAATGTTGAAATTTTTTTAATGCTTGAAACATACGCTCATGTACTCAAAAGATTAGTTTTAAAAATGTAAAATTAACACTTATGTGCTCGAATTGAAAGATTGATTTTCAAAACGTAAAACGAAAACTCATATAATTGAAAGATTAATTTTAAAACTTAAACTTAACACTTATGTATTTAAAAGATTAATTTTTATTCACATACCTAGAAAGATTAATTGTATAACTTAAAACTAACACCCACCTACTCGAAATTTTTTTTTTTTAAAAAAAAAACGTTAAACGAATACTTGCATATTTGAAAGATTGTTTGAAAATCATTTTACGCGCAAAAACCGCAATGAAATTCAATATCATTTTTTAGAATGAAATAGAAAAAATGAACTGCTAAGACTGATCAGATTAAAAAAACTCAAAATTAATTTTTAAATATGAAACGAAGATTCGAGTACTCAAACGAAGATTACTTAGCAATCGTTTTGTGCATGAAAACAAAATAAAATCAAAATCATTTTGAAAATAAAATCAGGGAGACAAACTGTTAATGGGTGATCCGCTAACAAGATTATGGGCATTATATTTATTAACCATAATATACGTAACTTATATGATTATTAAGTTATCCATGACTCTTAGTAAGTTGGGTCAAGCAGATTCACTTGGTCCTATTTGACCGAGTTACACAGTAAATTTTGATTCATCACCATTTTTTTTTAACTTAAGGAAATTCAAGGCGTTCCTAATAAATTTTCGTTTATTAGCCATACAGAATACCTTATTCCCTGCAATTGAATTTTTTTACCCCTTTTTTGCGATGAAAACAGTGTACGTTACCAAAAATAAATATTTTATATAATATTTTATAATAAATAGTTTTTTTATATAAATATTTTATATAATATTTAAAATTTTTATATATTTTTAATTACGTCTTGAAAATTTTTAAAATATTTAATATGTTTGTCCGATTAAATTTTTTGATAATAAATAGTTTTTTTTAAGCAAAATGCTTATTATTAAAATATAAAAAAAATTATTTAAAATCATGTAACCTACGTGTTTTATTTTTTTAATTTTTTATTTTTATTTTTTAATTTTAATTTTAACTTTAACGAGAGATATTTTAATTAATAAATTATATAATTAAAAAAATTAATCTAAATAATAAATTAAATATTTTAAAGACTTACAAAAATAAATAAGATGTAACTAGGAACGTAAAACATATATAAGACTTTGGATATTACGTTAAAACACACATATATAAAAACACTCACCATAAAAAAAATTATTACGAATACTTGAAGGGGCTGGGGTCTTCTCCAAGTGCAGCCTAATCTCCGCCGTTAATCATTCAGTCACAACTCCCCTCATGCGTTACGTGTCCAATAAGTCTGATCTAACGGTTCTGTTTTCATAACGTCTTGAGTCTTCCTCCTGATTAGATTTTCAATCCCTAAAAAGAAAAAGAAAAAAGAAAAATTAGAGCAGCATTCCTAATATATAATATCTCCACTTCTGTCACTGGATCGAAATTTTGCAGATCCTGTTTCAGACACAACCATCTCTTTCGCTTTCGGGATCTCTTAACATCCTCGGTAAGATTCCTTCTCCCTCAGCTGCTTCCTGTCCATCTGATTCCGATACACTTTAAGAATTATTACTTAAATTCTTTCGTACAATTCCTTTGTTATGATTTAGGGTATGAAATAGTTATTATTATCTTTGGGTTATTGTTGAATTTTTGGTAATCAGATGGATTGGCAAGGACAGAAACAAGCGGAGCTATGGATGCAGATACTGCTTTTAGTTTTCGCGGTGGTGGCTTTCGCTACTGGTTATATTATGGGATCATTTCGACTGATGATGCTAATTTACGCCAGTGGAGTGATTTTCACCACGTTGGTTACTGTCCCTAATTGGCCTTTCTTCAATCGCCATCCTCTCAAGTGGTTGGACCCAAGCGAAGCTGAGAAGCACCCTAAACCACAGAAGGTTGTGGTTTCTAAGGACAAAAAGAAATCGTCCAAGAAGTAGGTTCGTTTTATTAATTTTGGCTGGTTTTTTAGTCTTAGCATTTATTTGCTAGGGTTTTTAATTGCCAGTTGAATGGATGGAATGAGATGAAATGTTATGTGATGAATTGGATTTTAGAATAACTTTGTTTTGCTTTAAATTTTATACCTTTTAGACAATTGCATTCGAGTTTCAATTAGTTTTTTCGACTTGTTATTTATACCTGTCTTCTTTGTTTTTTAGAGCGACAGCAATAGGTCAATCTGCTTTTTAGAATGAATAGCCAATGTGAAGAGTAGTTTATTTAGTTGATACTTTTTTAATAGAGGAGAATGAGACCGATTTCATCTTACCGTTTAAGGAATGCAAGTTCCTGTGAGTTCAGATGTTTCTTAGCCATTGGATTTTGAAAACTGATTGCTAATTTTTTTTTGAAAAAAACACTAACAATGTTTTATCCAATGGCTTGAAATGGGCCACATCCTTTTAGTGATACAGGGAATGGATTCGCTTATGTTCTGAATGAAGTGAGTTTGCTTTTTATTTGGATTTGTTGTTGATGAGTAATACTGTTCACTGTTGCTTCTTTTAAATATAATTGAGTTCATTATCAAGACAGAATGCTGATGATAAAATTGAGGCTATAATTCTTTCGATTCTAGTTTTTTTCACGAGTAAATTTTGATTTCATTATCAAGAAAGCAGCAATGCTAAACCTGCTGCAATGGCTGAAATGGGCTTGTATTTGATACAATTCTCAGTTAAAGAATCTCGAGGAAAGTGTTTACTGTTGAAGCTATTAACTTAAACTAAGAAAAACAGTATTACACAATAACCATGAAAAAAGCAGAGTTGCTATGACTGGATTCTAGCTCACTTCACATACGGTCCCTTTTGAGTTTCATTTGGTCTTTTGATAGCGGGATGAGTTACATGCCTTCTATCTGGTCTGGTAGGGCTATAAATAAAGAATTATGATGTTGCTCTTTTGTTTGTTTTCCTTTTCTGGCATTTGTCATTCAACTCTTTTGACTTGAGAATTATAAATTGCATTACTCTGTTTGCTGTACATCACAATTTATGATATATATTGAACAGTTTTCATTCTTCCTCTAGGATTTATGTCTTTCTGCATAATTTTAAGAAATGCTGAAACTGGTTGTTGTGTTTAGTTAAAAATGGTATTAAAATAAAACTGGATCCCCTTGTATGATCCTTTGTTTCGTTGAATCGTAATTTAATTGATGGAAACTAGTGGGTTATAAAAGCCTTCCATGTAATAACGGTGAAGAACCTTAGACTGCAACTTTGGGTGATGTGCGATGAAAATTACTGTCCGAACATTGGTGTAGGGGATGCTTCCCTTTTATTTTTGGCCCCTCTTGTGGTCAATCTGTGTTTTAAACTTTTCATCCATGTTTTGTACCGGATGAACTTCAATTTCCTAGCTGCCAGATTTATGTCAACTTCGCCAAATCTCGCTCTAAATTTTTACACTAATTAAGCTGTACTTTTTCCATTTACCCCCCTTAAGTTGATATAGTTGGTAGTTATGAGCTTGTAGTTTGAAGCAGAATAGGAAAATTTTAAACCTCTTTCGGGTTGGAAATTGGAATATGAGACCTCAAGGTGAGAAGAAACTCTGTGCTACCAGCCTACCACAGGTATTTAGTCCAAAAGAAAGTCGGCCATAGAAGAGACAGATGACATCCCTGCGAACACTTTATATCAAGGAAAAGGAATGGCTATTGGGTTTATATGCCCAGCGATAAGTTTAAGCTGATTCTAATAAGACGTGCTGCAGATCCAAGATAAATGGAGCAAAAATGAACAAAGACATATGACTTCTTCTGTTTCAGAAAGATTCGAGGGAGTGCATCATAGGATAAGCTGACAGAGAGGACCAAAAATTCACTAAACGACAATAGCCGGTTGCCCATCATCAGATTAGTGTCTCCGGTGTGGCCTTTTTAAAGCTTTTGCTAGATAAGCTCCAAATTGCTACAGGAACATCAAGGCATTAAACTGGCTTTGTTTCTATTCCAGATCATAACTTTGTGATTGTGAACATGGTTAAATGCCAGATGGTTTTTTCAAGGAAAAAAGAGAGGGGAGGAGGGTTAATATGGATGTACAAACATGTTATTCACACCTATGAAATGAAAGGCTTTTTAAACTTGTAACTCTGGGCTGCGGTCTAAAATAGAAAGCTGAATTCATTGAGCACCGCGTTCGTGCTTAAGTTCGCTGTCATTTTTTCGTCCCTTCCTACAGATGCCTTCCGTTGCAATTGAGCCACATGTGGTCCATTCCTAAAACACAGTAGCTTGGTTCCTGATATTGATTTGCCTTTCCAATTTCTTGTTCTCGTTTCTCGTTCAAAAACTTATTTCCACGTAAAGATTGTTCATCAGAGAGGATTCGTAAGATATGACACGCCCAATATAAGTGGTGGTGGTTGTTGTTTCTTCCCTTCTACTACCATCAATAATCGAATAAATTGGCTAAAAAAGAAAAACAAAAAGTTGAAAATAATAATTAAATTACTCCATATGCTAGGACTGAATTTCTTGGACCCTTGCTCTTGGGCTTTATACCCACTGCAATGGACCTCAAGCCTCTCTGTTAAAGTTATTGGTGATTTTTTTTTTTTTTTTTTGTTGTTGGAAAAAAGAGAGAGAAACCAAGTAATCAATAATTTCTTTTTCAATTAATGCACACGTTGCTTTGTTATATCGAAAAGAAAATTTTTCTTTATATATTTAAGTAGAGAAGAATCCATATTCAAGTCAACACTGAATTTCTTCTCAACTTCTGTTGGATAAATAAATCATGCACAAGTAGAGTTGAAACAATTGGACAACAATTGAAGTGGTCCATTCAAACCATCTTGAAATTGTGGAAGAAAAAACAAAATAAAACGGATGATGTCTCTGTACGCGCTATGCACGGCAAATCGTTTCACGTTCTTCAGCGGCTACAACAATTTTTCTTTTGTTTTTCTAAATGAGAGTCATCGGCTTTGAAGTTCTCGTTGCTGTGAGGTGAAATGTTGTGGTCGGTTTAGGAAGCAACAAATAATATCCCTTTATATTATGCCGTAAATAATACGGGAGGAAGGAAGCACCCTCTTGGAACATCAAGGGTCAATTATTCAAGGTGAGTCGATGCCTTATCAGATTTTCCACTTTCCTCTCGCCATCTTAAAAGGTTTAGATTCGTTCCAACCAGTTTGGCATCTTAATTAAGTCGTAATTTCAATATTGATCAAACTACATGTGATTAGTGGTCATTCAATTAATTCAACCTTTTCCCTTTTCTTCCCCATCTAACCTCTCTAATTGCATCTTGGACGGTGCGGACGATGCCTTAAAAATTGACAGGTGACATTATTATTCTTTTGGGTTATTCTATAAAATCCATCAAAATTAAGCATTCTCACAATCATAGGTTCTTTCTTTTGAAATCTCATAACTACTTTGTCCACCACTTTAAAAGTTTATCTTATACCCATTATTTCCTCTCTCTCTCTCTCTCTCTCTCTCTCTCTCTCTCTCTCTCTCTCTCTCTCTCTCTATATATATATATATATATATATATATATATATATATATATATATATAAAGAGAGAGAGAGAGCTCTTTCAGAGAACATATTCTCTATCTTTAAATATTTATATAGTAAATTCAAAATATTAACTATTAACTTAAATATTGGAGTGTCTTTGCTTGGTTACTTTTTAAGTATCAACAACTCCGATGTTTACACTCAATGCTTGCGGAACTTTAGAAAACACCACTATTATTTTTCCAACCACCTTAAGAAAGCTGAATATCAAATACAAAATATTAATATGATGAAATCTCATGCATTGTAAATGACATCGTTTGTGGAAACTCGTTAAAAGGTTAGTTTCTTAACTCTTCATACAATCTCCAAGCTTTTCCATGGTTTTCTCAACCACCGAGTCCAACAAGAATTATGTCCTCCTTTACCATATCCCACCTCTCTTTATATAAACACCGGATCCGGTGGTACAACATATGATTCATTTAAGTATCCATCATTCAAATGAAGTAATATATTTCTTAATTTACGAAGCACATCACCATAAAAATAACACATAAATCGTTATAAGCATCACCTCTTAATTGAGACGATTAGTAATTTATTTGTTTATGTTGTCATTTTATCTCTATCATACTCATGTTCTTTTGAAATAATGCTAATTTGCATTATATGATACACATGCATCCATTCGTATAAATATCTTTTCATAGAAAGTATCAATTATTAGTTTTATGGTGGAAAAAGTGTTAGAAAATGGACAAAAGAGGTAAGACCATCACCAAGTCATGCTTTTAATTTGCAACACACCTATGATGTTGACAATTACTTGTCACATATTTTATTATTTTCTACAAATATCAACTAATAATGTAAATTAGATAAATGTTTGACCCCATTTATGTTACATTGCTCAAGAAAAATTTAACTACAAAATAAATAAATAAATAAAATAAAATAATAATCTTAGTCATTTAGTGCATAAGTCAAAAGGTCTTGCCAAAATTAGTCTACTAAGGGTTATTTGGACAAAAAAATAAAAAATAAAAAAATTAACACTTGTACAATAAAAGCCCTCGAAGGGATTGCAAATTGCACACGTAACTATATAAAGATATGAAGGCCTAACAATTAAGACAAAGTTTACAAACATTCAAAAATTTGAAGAAGCATCGCCACATTCAGCTAGGAAATTAACCATTCTACCACATAAAATTGCTCAAGCTATTTGTTATGCCCATAGAAAATTTTCTCCTCTTATAAGTTTTGATTCCCATAACTAGTTCAAATTGGAGAAAATATACGGTAAAAAAAATTATACAAGAAAATTTGGGCGAGCATGCCTATCACCATCAAGGACAAGTCTAGGAAAACGTGTTTATTATCCAGGATAAGCTTAGACGAACGTATTCATTATCCGAACAAACAAATTTAAACAAACTAGAATGAAAGGCACACTAAATAAAAAATTGATAAGAAAAGAAAAGAAAAGAAAAGTAAGAATAAGAAATTGGCCGACTAGACCACCATTGGAGATCCACTACTAAGCATGTGCTAGAATGAAGCCAACACCACTAATCAAGGCACCATTCTACCGTCGGACGATGCCGCACATACGAAGATAATCTTAGTCATGTTTAGCTACGTGCCATAACAACTTGATATTTTATCTCATCTTTTTTTCTATTTTAGTCCCTTAAGTTTTTATCGTCTTTCAATTCTAACCTCAAATTTGAGTTGAGCTTCCAAATCAATCCTCATGTTTCATCCGTCATCATTGTTTGCCCATAAATTTATCTATACAATTGGATTTGGTCCCTACACTCTTGAACTTTGTAGTTTTGAACAAATCAATCCTTGATTTGTATAATATACTTTGATTCCATCTTTGATTGTGAAACACATCTCCAGTTCCTTTGTCGATTTAGTTAGCTATCAATATTATCCCTTCATATAGCAGGCAAAAATATTTTATGACCGCTTAGTCATATTTGACACCTTTAGCACCAAATGACTCAAAAAAGAGTCAATTTACCCAAATTATATAAGAGCTTTTGAAAAGAGTGGACAACAAGGATCCACTACTCGTCAAAAATCCATCTCTTCTTAAAGATCTCATTTCTCTCCAAGGAATCCTCTTTTTCCCAAGGAGTCCATCCCTACTCTAGGATTTCATCTTTATGTTCAAGATCTTACTCTTTCAGGGAGTCCATCTCTTCTTAGGGACTTTGTCTCTACATCTAAGACCCTTCTTCTCTTAAAGAGTCTATCCCTACATCCGAGGTTACACTTCTTCTTAAGTATTCCACTCTTTTTAGATTTTATCCCTCATTAGGGATCCTCCTCTCCTTAGAGAGTACATCCTTCTTTAGATATTCTACCTTCAAAAATCCGAGTCCGAGGATTCTAAAGGAATAAAACTATAAACAACGTATTTAGATCTAATTTGAGAGTTTTAGTGGAATAAAAATATAGACACATATATGAATACAAATTCCAAAGGTTTGAAACAAATGAAAGATAAATACAAGTATGTTTCTCTAGAAATCTCCAAATCCTTTAGAAACAAACATCCATGTTCTTTCAAGAACTCATGATAACTTTCCTCTAGAAACCACTAGTTCTTTTGAAAGCATACAACCATGTTCTTTTAAGAACCTACGATGACGTTCTTTCATGAATATCTAGCTCCTTTATGAATACACACACACACACACACATACATATAAGTTTTTCTAAGGATCTCATGAAAAAATTCCTCCGAGAATATAGTTTCTATAAAAGAATATAATTACATTCTTTCAAAAAAATTATTTCAACATTTCTCCAAGTAACCAATAGCTCTTTTGAAGATATATAGTTACTTTTTTTTTAAAGAACGTACAACAACATTCCTTTAAGAACCTCTATTCCTCTAGGAACCCGCTCATCCATGAGTCCATTCCTCTAGAAATCTCTATTTCTTTAGAACTATGTTTCTCTAAAAACTCACTCCATGAGAGTCTATTCCTTCAAGAATCTACATTCATTTTAAGCAACGCTCTTCGAGGAACTCGCTCCTCAAAAAGTCCATTCCACTAGGAATCTTCATTATTTTAAAAAATACATTCCTTTGAGAACTTTCTCTTTAGAAAGTTTGTTTCTCCAAGAATCTTCATTACTCAAAGAATATGTTCTTCTAAAATCTCATTCCTAAGAGTCCATTCATTAGTATATGTTTCTCTAGGAACTAATAACCATAATTTTTCTAAATATTATGATCCATCCGGATAACTCATCGGACAAAATAGACGGATAGGTCAAATCTAACAAGTTGTATCTCTAAAGTCCTAGTCTATCCAAATTACATCATATTAGAACATCATTATGCTTCAAACCGAGTGAGCCACGCTCTAAGATAAGAAAAACTAATAAGGTATAAAAGTTGGACTCTCCCACAAAGCCTACCTAAGCTAGGCCTTTTCATAATTATAGGCTCTCTCCCTTGAAATCTTATAGCAACTTGACCCAACGCTATAAAGATATGCCCTATACCCATCATTTCCTACTATATATATGGGCTTTTTCATTCCTAAAACACATATAAAATAACTTCAATACACATATATTTTTGGCTTAATGTTTTAAAAAAATCACAAACTATACGTGTTTAAATGATTTTAGCTTGTTCTTTAAAACTTATATAGAAATATCACCAACTAAGTCTTTGATAACAATACTAACATCGATCCGATTTTTTAACCAAAATTTCGAGCAATGTTGACATGTCAAGTGATGAAGCATGATAGCTAGACTTAATTTTCCATGTAAGATACATAAGCAATGATGTGAAAAATCGAGTTACAAACCTAGAAAGACATGTCATTCCTTATATACCTCAATCACAATAAAATCTCCAATCCCTAATTCAAATTAACCCTAACCCTTTCAAATTCATCTAGAAATTTTATCAAAATACTCATATGCACTTCTCAATTTTCATTTCCCTTTTGAAAAAAGAAAAGAAACGCTCTTGTTTTCAATAAATCTTAATCTTTATCTATTCTTGTTTTTGAATCTCCGTAACAATAGAGGCAACTAAGACAACAAAAGCGGTAGGAGGAAGGAAAAGAGGAAAAAGAAAGAAGTCGATTACCAAATCAAGCAAAGCTGGGTTGTAATTCCTTATGGGTCTTATTGCTAGGTTTTTGAAGAAAGGTCATTATGATCGATGTCTCGGTATTGGTGCTCTTGTTTACATCATTGTTATTCTTGAATATCTAGTTGCTAAGGTATAACAAATGTTGCCTTTTAGATCTTGTTTTATTTTTTTAAATAAATGTTTCATCTTTCAACTTTAAAAGATTTTCGGATCTAAATTTTATTTATTTATTTTTTATGTAATAAATATTTAGGCACTTGGAATTGGCAAAAAATTAAGCTAGAGAAAACAAAAAGAATAGAATCAACCCGAGACATTTGCTTGGAGGCTATAAGGAATGATGTGGAATTGGGAAAATTGCTGCAAGGAGTTACAATCGTAAGCGGAGAAGTTTTACCAAACATTAACCTAGTTTTTTTATCAAGGAAAACCGTAGCTAATGAGAAATCTTTCGAATTTATGGCCAAATCTCCTAAAATGATTTAATCCACTAATAATATTTTAGTCTCTATTTTATGGTGAAAAAAGAAAAAGACTAGTAGTTAATCGATTGAAGACAACAACAACGAAGGAAAAGTAAGCAACTATGTTGGATGGACATGGTTTACGATTTAAGACCGAGTGATCTCCTCGCTAGTCCCTTCGGGAAGAAGGATTCATGTTACGGTGGAGCATGTGCGGCGGTCGAGGTGTTAAGAGGAGTTTCGATAAAGGAAGAAAAAAGGATGAGGTCGAAGGTGGAGGCGAAAGCTCGTGGTCAAAAAATTAGTACTAAGAGACAACTCGAAGGACCAAAGCTCGGGTTTATGTTGGAGGGTGCTACTCTTGAAACTCGTTATTTCTATTATTCCCTATGATGTGGTCAATGATGTTACGAGTGATTATTGATTTCTTATTTATGATTTCTTGTGGTTTCATTTACGTCAATAAGTTTGTTTCATGCTTTGCTTATTTTGTGAGACATGAATGAATGTGGAGTTTTGTTATGACAATGAATTTGACTTATAATTTAGCTTTATACAAAACATATTGCTATTACTATTTTTTTAAAAAAAAAACTAGTAGTTAATCCTATGTAATAGGAATCTATATAGGCAATTTAGTTTGTTTGGTCATATTTTCAGTTTATTTTGATTTTTCCTTTGATGAAAGGTGAGTAGATCTTTCAATGAGAAGTGCAAATGAATATTTTGATCAATTTTCCATATGAATTTGAAAGGGTTAAGGTTAATTTGAGTTGAGGATTAGGGATTTTGTTGTAATTGAGGTATATAGGAAATAACATGTCGTTTAAAATTTGTAATTGATTTTTCATGTCAACGTTTATGTGGATCTTACTTGGCACATTAAGTCCAATTATCATGCTTCGTCGCTTACCATGTCAGCATTGCCTAGAATTTTGATAGAAAATTAGATAGTTACTAGTATTATTATCGGATACTTAGTTGATGACCTTTTTGTATAAGTTTTAAAGAACGAGATAAAATTATTAAAATATGTATAGTTCGTGATTTTTTGAAACATTAAGCTTATATTTTTAGAGATTTCTCTCTCTCTCTCTCTCTAATTACTTATATAGATTGCCCAAAATACTTACTCAATCATCCGAGTGATTTGTTTAGGCACCCTTATAACACTACTAACTTCGATGTTTGCACTCTATATTTGCGAGAATTTCGAAGGCACCACCATTATTTTTTCAACTCCTTTAAGAAGGATGAATATCAAGTATAATAAATTTACATGTTGAAACCTCATGCATTGCCACCTCCTACTTAATTTTCACATGAAAGATGAATGGACTTGTAGCTCATAACTCATAGAGTTATTTAGTGAGTTGTAAGGAGCAAAAAAAAAAAAAAAAAAGTAGGCTAAATGGGTCGGACCTTTTATGAATTTTAACACAATTGACATTGAATTCTTAAACTTCAAATTTGGTTTTTAAGATTCTTGAATTTTTAATTTCTTAAGGTTTAGTCAATCTTTCAATTTTTTTTTTTTTTTGTCATTTATCTCAAAAAGTAATCTCATAAATAGTTCCATGATAGAAGTTATTGATGGAATTTATATGGGACTCCTTAAAAAAATTAGGAATATTCCAGGTTATTTTATATTTTCTTGATTTTTATATTTTTAATACACACACACACACAAACTTTTTTCAATTTTGAAATATTCTAGGATTTTTCTAGAAAATGGATTGGATTTTTCTCAATATGTATGCAAAATTTTAGTTCAATACACACACACACACACTTTTCGATTTTGAAAAATTCCAGGATTTTTCTAGAAAATGGATTGGATTTTTCTTAATTTGTATGCAAAATTTTAGTTCAAAATACCAAGAATTAATTTTTTTAGAGAGGAGGGTGATAGGTAAAAATTATTGGATGGACTAAATGTTAAAAAATTGAAAGGTTAGGGATTTCAAAAATCAAATTTAAAGTTCGGAGACTCAATTCCAAATAGGATAAAATTTAGGAAAGAATAACCCATTTAGCGAAAAAAAAAAAATTAGTTGAGTTCTCAAAATATATTGAAAGATTAATGCATGAATCGTTTTTTTCCATCTTATAACAACTTTGTGATAGTCACATCAAATGGAGGTTCCAAATTTTTTTTTTAAGTGAGGTCAAAAAATATATATATATAATTTACAACATTCAAATCCCATAGTTAACATTATTGTTAGAATAGGTTCAATTGGCTAAATTGGGCCTTGACGTTATCAATGATAGTGAAAAGAGAAAAATTAATGGTAAAACGAGTAGAGTTTGATATCGGACCCAACAATCCCATAATTTAAAATGATCAAAAATCATTGTTCGCCATTGAAAGATTGAAAGGAGAGAAAAAGATACTTGAATATCAATATATCATGATCTTCGCTTAAGCAATTCATAAAATCAACTAATTTAATATTTAGTTAAAAAAATCATATTTAATTTAGACTTTGTCAAATGATTTTTTCAAAATCCAAATTTAATTATTGAAAATAATACAAAACCTTATGAAATCTAATAGAACAAATTTCAAATGGGAAATAAAATTTAAGAAAATATCACCTTGAATATAGATAAAAAAAAGAAAGAAAAATAGAGGAATACGTTAATAGCGTGAAATTGTATATTACTATAAGGTACTATTTGGTAATCGGGAATAGAGTTGTGAGAATGTGAATGAAAGTTTTCTTCCCATAATGTAGCTATTTGGTTGAAAAGAAATGAAATGGGAATGAGAATGAAAATTACACACAACTTTCTTCCCATTTAAAATGTGAGAATAAAAACAAGGAATGAGAATGATTTTTTTTTAAAATAATAATATATTTTATTCATTTATTATCTATTAACTACTTCTACCACCATCATCGCCGTCACAACAACTACCACCACTACCACTACTATCATCATCACCACCGCTACGAGAACCACCGCCACCACGATCGTCGCCATCACCACCATCACCATCACTTTTATTATTTTTACAATCATTATAGTTTGATAAAATCATTTTTTAATCATTATTTTTATTTGTATAAAAAATTAGATATTAAAAAATTTAAATTGCATTTTGATTCCTTATTAGTATTCCAAGCATAGTATGAGAATAGAAATGTCATTTCGATTCCTGCATTCCCATTCCGAACTTTTCATTTCTAATAACCAAACAACACCTAAAGGTAATTACTAATACTTACTTCATAAGAAAGAAATATGAGAGAAATTTTTTTTTAAAATAAAACATAGGTAAAAATATTTTTATCACTTTTAGTATATCCAAAAGTGATTTTTTTTTTTAATTTCTCTCTTCAAAAGTGAACTCCTAAAATATTTTAAAATTTATCGGGTAATAGCCTCATGGCTAGGGATGTTTGATTATTAAAAGTATTTTGTTAGATTTTGGGATACTATCCTAATAAGTCATAAAAGATGGCACATTTGCTTTAAATGTAACCAATTCTTTTAACCATAAAAATTTCGTGCCGGAAAGCTAAGGAGAAAGAGGCAAAATAGTTAATCTTTGGTTTTCCTTAATTGTAGTAAGATCAATCCAATGAAATCAACTGATATTATTCACGGGATCAAGCATCAAGCATTCTATAATCTATATGGTTATTACATAATTTTTACCAAAAAAAAAAATGGATCCATCACTATATCACAAACTATGTTAAACTCGAGTTGTTCTTAATACATCAAAGAAAAAAAAAGTAAAAAAGATTGTAAATTATAATGTGTCATTTGTCTCTGTCTACTAAATTATAATTTTGTCGGAAAAAATGACAAAATAATTTAAGAAGAAAAGTTTCCTCCAAGAATAAAATTATAAAATTATAATTTATCATTTTTTGAAATGTAATCGATCATATAGCCTATATCAATATCTAGGATTCCACGATCCTTTTTGACATTATTCCACCCAATAGTCTCTATGGTTTTTTTTTTTCCTAATATCACACCCTTAAACTCTTTTATGTAAAACTTCTTCAAATTCACTTTTGCTTTTTTCACCTCATCATTATTATCATCAAATAAAAAATCAATATCTAGATTTCATCTACTTCGAATCTAACTCATTAGCCTCCACATTATCTTCTTCACTACTTTTGTTAATATATTCAATGTCCACCCATCATCGTTATTGACATCGACTTTATTGTTGATCCCAATTCATAATTAACTTCATCATCATTTTCAGCTCAATTGATGACTCTATCATCCGTCCTACCATCAAAACTATAAACTCCATTCTTACCCACATGCTTTTTAAGCTTTTCATAGCATCGCCTAGTGTAATCTACCAACTCAATAAAAAAATCTACAATATTATGCCTTTTCAAAAACTTAATTAATTGAATTATAGTCGGATCTCAATCTAAAAGAAAAAGCCCCTTCTCTATTCCAATAGCACGAGTTAGAGAAATAAATGTCGAGAATATGCTCAACCCCTTTTTCGTTGGCAAAATCGACATTGTCCCACATATAGATGTTGTCAATACTTTTAAAGAAGTAAATATATTTTTTACCTCCCAAATATTTGAATTTTGAATCATTGACAAACCGTCCACCATAATACAACACAACTTTGGGTTTTTGTTTGGATTGGTCCTCCATCATTGGTACATTAAGGAATATTTTTTTTCCGGAAAACGATAAAAGAAATAAGAGGTTTTTCAATTTGCGGTAAAAAAATCATTACAATAACAAAAAGAACAAACAAAATACCTATTATCGATGTCTCCATCTCTTTGAGATTCAATTCTTGCTATTATGTCCGTCTTAGAGGTCGTTCTTCGTTTTTTCGGTGTTCGAATTTAGGATTTACTTTCACAAGCAACAATTGATAGAAACAAGACAAGATAAAGTAATATTAGGTTAATTTAGTTGTTTGAGGCTTTTTAACTTCTAATTGATGAAGTTATTTGTTTTCTTTTTTCAATTAAATCATTCAGTTTTAACTAATATCTTTTTAAAGTAATATTAGGTTGGATTCCTTCGTGTGCCATCCGCTTTGATTTTTTTTAATAAATAGTTAAATAATAATAATAATAATTTGGGAGGAGAAGAGAAATAAAAAAGGCAATATAGTCGTTTACTTTTCTTTGTTAAGTGACACATCATCACTAGACGGAAGAACTTGATTGGCATCTTTAAAAAAATTAATATACTGAAACGAAAAAAATAAAAATTGATATACTTGATTGACAAAAAATTCAAAATTGATATACTTATATGTAGTTTTCTCAAAAGTATTTTGTTATATTTTGGGATACTATCCTAATAAGTCATAAAAGATGCCACATTTGCTTTAAACGTCACCAATTCTTTTAACCATAAAAATTCCGTGCTAGAAAGCCAAGGAGACAGAGGCAAAACAGTTAATCTATGGTTTTCCTCAATTGTAGCGAATCATTCCAATGAAATTAACTGATATTATTCACGAGATCAAACATCAGACATTTTATAATCTATATGGTTATTACATCATTTTTACCGGAAAAAAACTGGATCCGCAACGGTGTCACAAACTAACAAAGACAACACTATATTAAACTCGGTTGTTCTCAATACATCAGAGCCTAACTTTGCCGGAAAAGAAAAAAAAAACAAAGAAAGAAAGAAATTGTAAAAGTCTTGCTTAAAATGTAAGCCAAATTTCGTCGATTCGATGATACTGATCTATCCCGATCTTGTTTTACAATTTCTCAGGAATGGTTCTGCACGCCATGCCCAATGAAAACTGGAGACAAACTCATTGGCTGATAATTGGACACCTGTCAGTGCAGGTATGGATATGTGATGGGATTTATACTGCCTAGATATGTGTGCCACGATCCATCACTCTCTTTGCTTGAAAATACAGATAAAAAGCTGTCCTAACGCCCGCAATGCCAAGCTAATTACCGACCAATATTCCATCTTATCTCCAGCCTTTCCCTGTTTCCCATTCCCGTACTAAAAGATATGGGTCCCACCAGGATTCAGTATTATAAAATAGAAAGAGCCCATATTTCAGCCGTCAACTTCTGCCCGACGCTCCACAATTTTTGACTCAAACAAACTCAATCCATGAACCATCAGCACCACCACCAGTGGGTCCACCAGTATTGACAATAAACAAACAACTTTTTTTCTTTTTTTATTCCACCACAAATGCAATTTCAAGTCAGTTTTCACATGACTGAAATTATTTTTTTCAAACAATTTTTAAAATACGTTTTTATTGGTTTAATTAATAAATTCTAACAGCAGGGACCTCAAATCCAGAACTTCAAGAAATAACAATAAAAAAATTTCATTACCAGACCAATTCCTTAAATTTATAAATAAATAATATTATAAAAAAAATAATCATTTTCCCAGCACTTAATATGAAAATTACGTCCTTGTCAATTATCAGGGAAAAAAAAACCTATACCATAAATCATTTTAACCTAATGATATTAGAAATTAACGGCATTTGGAAATTGGAACGTAAGATATCCATCACCAATTCGCAGCAGCCAGTTAAATTTAACAACCAAAATGTCGTTATACATGGATTTGTCCAGTTTCCATAGCCATAAAATTGTGGCAGCCACAGACCTCAAAAAAATCTACAGAAATACGGAATACAAACAAACACATCCAACGTCCCACGTCGTGGGATCAATCGTTAACCAGACACGTCAGTGACATTGAAAAGTGATATGTAAGAGTGCAACCTCCATTTATTTCATAAGAGTAATTACAACATCTATGGATCTCACTGAAGTCGACTCTTTTAGCCAAATATGCCACAAATCCTCCTTTTGGTCCTTGACATATACAGCACCAAGGTACTTCCTGTTCTCCTGTCCAAGTCCGCTAATATCGATCTTCTCCAATATTGCTTCTACCGGATTCTACTAGGCTATTTTTTTATTTTTATTTTATTTGTTTTTCTCATTCATTTTAGGATCTTTTGACACTAGTTAGAATTAAGTAATTAGCCTTCACTCATTTTGTAGAGTCTAATTAACTTGACTTTGTTTGCATATATGATATACTAGCAGTTATTTTAATTTCACATTTGTATAACGAAATTCTCCAAAAATGTTCATGAATTGTGACGGGACTCCTAATTTCTTCCAAATATCGATATATCGAAATATAATTTAGATTCATATCCCTGTAATATATATATAGCATTGACGCTAGTTTGGATCTAATATCAGAAAAACATGGCCTAGGAATATAAATATATATTAGCTTGGTGTCATGTAATTGGGCTTTATGACTAATTTGAATCGAAGGTGACAGAAAGCAAAGGAATCTAGAAAGAACAGGATGCCGTCGTCCATACATAGTGCAACGATCAGTCATTTCTCTCTCGCGCGCGCGTTTTAGCTCGCTCCACAAAATTTAGTGGTAACTACGTACCTCACATCTAATTGCCAACTCAAAGTTTGGAATCTACAAATCCTAGCTCGAACCATCATTTACATCTGGACAGTGTAGTACCGGTAAAATCGAGTGATTCTTCAAGATTTTACAAACCAATTAAGTAACAAAGTACTACATTATCTTACAGTTTACAAATTATCCATTCCCACTGTAGTTATTCTACTTCAGAAAAGTTTTTTTTCTTTTTTTAAACCGCTAAAGATATTTTTGGTCAATTTATATGTTAATCGAAACTAAATTCTCTTCTCTATTTGATTAAAAATAAATAAATAAAATAAAATAATTACTCAAAAGTGTTTTGAAGAATAAAACCTATAAAAAGATCCATCAAAATTGAAACCTTAAAATCCTTACATGACATAATTTGTTCCTCTGAATGCATATTTTTAATTAAATATCATAAGGGGTTAATCTAATGTTTAAGAGTTAGTCCTGTTTCAGACAGATCCAAAAAGCAGAGATTCACAGACGTTTGTGGTGAAAGAAAATTTTTAATTTGAAAAATTTAACATTAGTAGCTAATCTACCTGTGGTCTTAGGACAAAGTCATTTTCCATATAATAATCACTCACGGATAAAGCTAGTTATAGTAATAATAATAGTAGTCATCTCTCTCCTTTCTTAATTCTTACTGGCAGTGACTCTGAGGAATGGAAGTCTAATCCTGACGTGGTGGCGCCCTGTCAGTTTTATCTTAAAAACTGCCAATTCGGTCGTTTCTCTATAAAAAGCCTCATTTTAGGCTTCTTTCTCAAATATCAAGACCAAATATTCCTATTGAAACTAGCTCCCTTATCCACCTCTCCACGATAATCTCCCTTTCCTTTCTTAGCAAGGTAAATTCTCTCCTCTCCTACTTTAGCACCTGTCAATATGCACATTTGGTTCCAATTAATTTTCTTGGCTTAGATTTGTCAGCATTTCCTAGCTTGATCCTGGCCAATACCCTTCACAGTATTTCTTTTGTTCACTCCCGATGTTTTGCTATTTATTCTTCTTTTGCCATCCTATTTCTTACAGTAGCTAGCTAGCTAGCTATTTTTCTAAATTATCTACGTAAGGTAATAACCTGGTTTTTCTTACCCACCCCATTTTTGCTCTCTGCATGTCTTGATTATTTCATCTCTCTGTTATTCATTTGAATTCTTTGTTTTGCTTTCTATTCGTGCTCTGATATTCATTATCTTCTGGATATTGATTTTGAGATCTGGTTAGTTAAGTTCTGCTTTGTGGGTTTTCAGCAAATAAGGATATATATATATATATATATATATATATATATATATTTGGATGTGTTCACACTGCATGCCTAACATCTCTTTCTTTTGTTAATTTTTCTTTTCTATCACGATCGAACGATTGGTTACAGTGATTCTGTAGAAATCAGGGGTCCGGTATAGATGTTTACTTTGAAAACTACCCTGCTTGCTTTGTCAACAAGTAATTGGTGGGTTGGTTAGGTAAAATTGAAATTTATGCTTTTACATGGACTGCGATAAGGTCCTTGGAATGTTGATTGCATCCTTTGCAATTATCTATCTTTCCAATTTTAGGTGATGAAAGATGATGTGTACATTTTACTTTTGGAGTAAACTTGCTCTATTTTTGTTTTTTTTTTTTTTTGAAGAGTACTGGTGTTTGCATTAAGAAGCTTGCTTTTCGGCTCGGATTATTATCATCTTTTCTTCACTATAATAAATCATGTTCTTTTAGTTTTTGAATCAAACAATGTTCTTTTTATTTGATAAAGGTAATTAATTTTCAACTTCAATAACTAATGGAAGTCGCAGCAGGCTGAGGCTTCCTACGTTTTATGGTCTTGACTGGTATGTATGACTAGATATACATTCAATTTTTATTTCATGGATGCGTGTTGTGTTTTTAGTCTTTGTGATGTTTTTTTTGCTCTTCAACTGCAGGGATTTATGCAAAGAGGCTAACAAAATACTCTACATAAGACAACTGAGAGAAACTACTACAAAAGAAGAAGTTTTGGTATGGAATCAAACTGGACAGAACACAGGAAACCCTTAGCATTTACAGCTCAAGTGATTCAATCTGCAACTTCTTTTATGCCTTTTTCTCTTAAAATCCCTACAGGTGATAATTAACATGAATTTCTTCAATCAAGTAGTCATCGTTTCCAAGGTTCTGCTAGATCTAGGGAGATATAATAAACTACAAGAATCATCTCCATCTCTATTCAATTATATAGAAAATGTTTGGTTTTACAAGTGAGAAGAGATTCTTAGACACAAGCATGTCTTTCTCCACGTTGATCACACATAAGAATCCTCCAGTGTATTCAAAAAGCAACCTTCTATTACCTTCGCGGTTTGCTGATGATATTATTGATAGCCCCATTCTACCTGGATTGCCTGATGATGTGGCAAAGTATTGCCTAGCACTTGTTCCTCGCCGTTACCTCCCAGCCATGGGTGCTGTTTGCAAGAAATGGAGGTCATTTCTTAAAAGCAAAGAGTTCCTCACTGTGCGAAAATTAGATGGCTTGCTTGAGGAATGGCTGTATGTCTTAACTATGGATTCTGAAGGAAAAGAAAGCCAATGGGTTGTTTTGGACTGTTTTGGACACAAACGTCAGCGTCTTCCACCAATGCCTGGTCCTACAAAGGCTGAGTTTGGGGTAGTTGTTCTAAATGGAAAGCTTCTTGTTATGGCTGGCTATTCAGTGATTGATGGGACTGGCACTGCCTCAGCAGATGTTTATGAATATGACTGCTGCCTCAACAGGTTTGTTTCTGTCAAGCATAGGACTCTCTCTCTCTCTCTCTCTCGCAATTATTGTCAATTTGATTTGATTTTTTTCCTCTAAAACTGATATCTTAGCCTAGTGGATACACAGTAGTTTTCTAGTTACGAGGGAGAATTTTTTGTATGATAGTTATAAAATCTTAATTGGTGGATTTATGAAATGTTGGTCTCACTAGGAAATCTATTTGAAATCTTTAGTCATTTCTGTAACCTTTTGAACTGGGATCTTCCACACACAGAGGTATCAACAGGATCACTGATTTTTTTGATTTTTGGAGAAACGGACTTTTCAAATTCAACAAAACACCCATACAATTTATAGAACCTTTTGCGTGTGGTTGCAAACGAGATACTTGGCCTCCCTTATCAGGTTGCCTAATTACAGTTACTGTAGGAGTAGAACGCAGCAAAGAAATTGATGATTCATGTCAGGGTTAAGGGCCTTGAACATATTAAATTTGATTCTGGGCACTTCTACAGGCAAACTATTTCATGTTCGAGCCACCCTGCAGACTTCAGTCTGATATTTACCCGGTAAAAATATGGGCAGGCCCAGGGTAGTTGTCATGTTCCTAGTCTCGGTACACTAGCTGGCTGAATGGCCGGGCGCCTTCTTTTGCAGTAATTGTTATAATGCATTACCTTTCTATAGTTTGAATTCTTCATAAAAACATTTTCTTTGCAATTGCAGTTGGAGCAAATTGTCAAGCATGAATGTTGCTCGGTATGATTTTGCCTGTGCAGAGGTTAATGGCAAGGTTTATGCTGCTGGGGGATATGGAACGGATGGAAGTAGTCTCTCCAGTGTTGAGAAGTATGATCCTGACACCGACAGATGGACCCTGATTGAGAGTCTTCGCCGCCCAAGATGGGGTTGCTTTGCCTGTGGCTTTGAGGGCAAGCTTTATGTGATGGGAGGAAGGTCAACCTTCACCATTGGCAATTCAAGGTTTGTGGACGTGTACAATCCAGAGGGGCAGACCTGGTGTCAGATGAAGAATGGCTGTGTGATGGTTACTGCCCATGCTGTTCTGGGAAAGAAGCTCTTCTGTATGGAGTGGAAGAACCAGCGGAGACTAGCAATATTCAATCCAGATGACAATTCATGGAAAACGGTAGCAGTTCCGTTGACTGGGAGCTCAAGTATCGGTTTTCGGTTTGGAATCCTTGATGGGAAACTTCTATTATTTTCGCTAGAGGATGAGCCAGGGTATCATACTCTGTTGTATGATCCTAATGCTTCTCCAGGTTTCGAATGGTATACTTCTGAGATAAAGCCATCTGGCTGCTGCTTGTGCAGTGTGACCATCAAGGCATGAAACAGGGCATTGACGACGATAAATTTGTACTTGTTTCTATATTGTTCATATTTGTAAATATTTGTGTGTTTTTCTAGCCAAAGTTACTGATACAGATGTGTTATCACGCTGTCTGTTTTTGGCCATTGAGGTGCCTGAGGTTGTTTCAGCACTCGACTAATCCCAGCCCCTGGAATGCATATTGTCATTAGACCACATATAATCCCTGAATCTTGCTAGAATATCCTAATTAGGGTAGGGGTTTTTTTTTCCTTATAGTCAAACAATAAAAAATGACGAGAAATTAAAAATCAAAAGAAAAAATTTGCAAGTGAAACAAGCAAATATTATAAATGTATAACTTAAACAAATTAAGCTCATCAATTTAAGAGAGTTGACGGAATTATAAATTTTTAAATGAATGCGATAGCATAAAAACTATATATATATAAAACTTCAAAGTAAGTCCGATTTTAAAAAATTTGAGGGAAAATACCTTATTTTTAAAGCATCTTAATGCATAATTATTTTTAGGATAGTAGTTTCTCGCCTAACCAACATCTTAAAAATTTAGAAATAAAATACTTATGAATTCCTCAATTTCTACATGACTAGTTAACTAACGTATCATGATAAAATGACTGAAACTCTTGACACACATCCACATTGTACATATTTAAATTCAAAAATTAATAAAATAAAAAGATCAAACCAAAAGATGGTAACCTGCTAGTAAGCAAGCATCAACTCGTACATTAGGTTTAATAATCGATTTTTATGATTAATACTTTTGAAAATTCATTTTTAAAATACTATAGGTTGTGCGTTGACGAGTATCTCTTAATTATATATGGAGAAGAATTAATTTTGAAATATACGAAAACCGACTCAAGAATATCCTAAATACTACGGAAAAAAAAAAGAAAAAGAATCAATCAAGTTTGTAAATTCGTTTTATCCTCCTTATCCTTACCTTCTTTCACAAAAATGAATTATTGATATAACAATATAATATCTTTCATTTTTAAATAGTCGAGTGGGTCTCGCGTTACGCCACGGTCGAGCACCCGTTGCATATGCATAGTTTGTGATTTATATGGTGTAGTGTAAAAAAAATTCTTATTTTTGATGACTAATGTAGAGCAAATATATTTATTAAGTGAATTTGTTATTTGTTTATAGTCTCTTTTATTTATTTATTTATTTTTTTGTAAATATTATTTAACAATTTTTTTTTCTAATGTTAGCTTATGGTCTTTTGTAATAAGCAAATGAAACATTCAAAATATTACAGAAATTGTATGCATGGAATCACAATGGATTTTGCATACAATCGTAATTGGATTTGATGAGGTTTTATTGATTTAATTATGTGGATGGGGCCAATTGGATATTTATGTTGCTACAGTGGTGGTATGAAAGACATGAGTTGCAATGAAACGATGAGCCGTTGATTTATTGCCCATTTATTGCGAAAAAGGTTATGTCGAATTTAAAAAATCTTTAGCTAATTAATGATATCTAGTAATTGTTGCAGGACCACGTTGTTGTCATCATAATCAAAGTCCAACACCAGTTGCTTGCATGCGTATCCAAAACGTGATGTAATTGTCTTTTCGATGAGTAGTAGTCTTGCTTCGGATGTTTGATCTTGAATGATGCAACTGATGTTTTATCTAGAAAAAAAATAAAAAAATAGATTAAGCTCATATAAGAGAAGATGTAATGTCTTTTTATATGTAAGGTGATCAAAATATTGTAATTGTAAAAGTGGTTAATCAATGATGATGAAAATTATTTACCGGGGAATAGGATTCTTATTAAGTATGTCATAGATTATGCATGAGTAGACATTTGTTGATTTATGAGTTAGGCAACAACAAAGGCACGATAGATACCACCACCACGCAAAACTTACGTCGACAGAGACCATTGAGGCCTCAATTGTGTAACAAACTGCCTACTAAAAACAATTGATCAATAAGGTATGTTATTTGCAGCCCTTTTTGTGAAAATAAAACACATGCAAGAGCGCGCGCACACACACATATTGAAACTAATATAGGTATCTGAAAACCTTTGCATTGTCGATCAATGGTTAGAGCAAGTGCTCGACGGTTGATCAGTTTTCATTCTTTGGTTTTCTATCGCAGGCTCAAAAATTACAATGCCTGGTCATATGATCTGTTTTCATTCTGTAGTGTTATGCTATCCATTGTTAGAACTGTTTAACATAGAGTGGGATAGAAAACCAAAGAAAGCATGAAAAGAGAGAAAACAAAGTTAATGTTAAAGAATTTGTTAAAATTGCTGAAATTGCATAATAACTAAGTGTCTATAAGAGGATATTAATTTTTTGTTTTCATATTATAAAGCAAATCATCCACGATGGTGTGATGCTCGTCCCAAAACAAGGATTTGAATCTAAGATGTGGCCGTTAACGACATAAACTCATTTTCGATAAGCATTTCAAGTGGATGTATTTTTTCTCCTTTTATAAAATTAGTAGGTTTTTTAAGCACAACATCCTCAACGAATGGAATAGATAAAGGTTTCACCTTCAAACTAACTATAAAAAAATCAACCAGCTCTAAAAAGCTAAAATATCCAGCATCACAAATTAAGCAAAAATCCAAAGAAAATTAAAAAACCCAATCATAAACAAATCCACCCAAACCTAGCTCACATCATCACCAAGCACCGAGATTTCACACCTGAAAATGTCATCAAATAATGACTTTGTGGGACTGTTGGGTCAATTGTTGGCTTTTATTATTTATTTGCTAAATCAAATAGTGACATCAAATGTGCATATGAAATATAGTGTGGTAAGGTATATATCAATTGTGGGACTGTTGGATCCATTGGTTTTTTTGTCTTTCTTATTTTTGTGTGATTACCTAAAAAATGGAAAAGAAAAGCTATCAAACTTAGTGAGTCGGACACATACATATAGAACGAACCAGAAATGATTATGTAATAGATTGAAAAAAACAAAAAAACCAAAAGACGGCATAACATATTGCATAAAGAAAAAGCAACCAACAAAGAAAGCTAAAACAAAGCATAACTTTCGTTTGAGCAGAGCAATCAAAATGTACAGATCAAAAGTAAGGTAGCCTATAAAAAAACAAAAAGGGAAAAAGTCAGTGAAAGGCAAAAAATTGTAAATAGAGTTTGTAGGAAAATATGTCGAACACATATAAATTGAAAGCCAACATAGCACAAAAAAAAAAAAAAAAACCTACACCAACCAAGAAGCAGGTACCAAGAACCGAATAGACAATCAATACCTAATTTAGCAACACTGATAAAAGGAAAAAAATGACAATTAGAACGACAAACAAAAACAACAATGGAAAAAAAGAAAATAGGAACTTCGAAGAAGCATAAAAAACACATAAACAAACACCTCAAGGAACTGATTATAAAACAAAAGGCGCACAACCCTTGCTAAAAAACAAACACCTATCCAGAATGAAAACCAGGACAACCTCAACGCAAACAGAGCTGGATCATTGCGATCTCTAACAGGTCTGAAAAACAACAACAACAAAGGCAAATCTAAAACCGAAAAAACACAATTGGGTAGCTTAAAAGCAATAAACGCAAGGAGATCAAATCCTAAATCAATAGGAAAGCAGCAAAACAATGTGAAATCCAAAGAAGCATTGAACATATATGATTTTTTAAAGAACATCATAAACGAATTAAATAACAAAGGCAAGCAAAACTTTAGGAAAAAAGTAAATAGCAGACAGAAATAGAATGTCTTTTTTGCATCGAGAGGTATATCAGAAATGCACAAAGTGATCGAATAAGGAACAAAAAAAAAAAAAAAAAGTGCAAAAAAAGACTAGGAAACCAACAATACTACAATAAGAAGATCACAAAAAAAATTTACCAACAAACAATAAATAGCAGACAAAAACAAAGATAAAGAAGAAGCAACGAAAACCAGCAAGTGAAGTAGCAGCAAGATACAGCCAAGGGGAAAAAGACACAAAGAATGCAGGTGTGCATAATCTTTGGGAAAAACAAATAGCATATCCAACATTTAAACAAAACAGTTTTTTTCTGGATTCAGGGACATATCAGAAATCTTGAAACCAAGAACACTTAAAAAGTACAAACAGAGACCAAAAAAAGGAAAAAGATAAGAATAAGAACATAAGGAAGGAAATGATTGATAAACAATAAAGTCGATAAAACACAAACAAGGGCACCCTTAATGTCAAAAAAAGAAACAAAGAAAGGGAACTAGTCATGGCAGCAACACAATTTGAAGGAATAAAAAAGGAACAAAAACATAGGCACACACAACCTCTAGGAAAAAAAAAACAAACAACACATACAACATTTAAATTAGCACAGCATAACCATAGAGAGAGTTTCATGTAACGAAGATGATAATCAACACACAACAAAACTGACAAAAGCATAACATATATTTGCTAGCAAAAAACACAAAGAAAGGCACACTCAACATTAAAGAAGAAACAAAGAAAGGGAACCACCTCTAGTAGTAAGAGAAGCAGCAGCAACACAGTTGGAAGACGAAAAAAAAGAAAAAGAAACAAAGAATGCAATCGATTATAAGAGAAGCAAACTGCAAAAAGAGAAAAAAATGAAGTTAAAACAAAACAAATATCAGGACAGCATGGGAAGGTGTAAAAAAAAAAAACATCAAATCCAAACCAGCAGGCATCAATTAGACCTGCACACTCGAGGCAAAAAAAAAAAAAAAAAAAAAAAAAAGGAATAAACAACCATACATAAAAAATAAAAATAAGGAAGGAGGAAAAAAAGAAATAAGTCTTATATAGTCAGAAAGAACTAAATGGTGATGAAATCAATTGAAGTTGAAGGGTGCATAGTAGGGACAAAATTGCTAAAACATGATCTCCCCAAAAGATAATCACAACACAAAAAAACCAATCATGGCCTCAGCCCCCATGCACCAACAACCCCCAAGAAGAAATTATGCGATGGGTAAGAAGAAAGATAGCGAGACTCCTAATTTGTTTTGAACAAAACGAATACCAAGTGGATACCAACTAGTTCTGAATGAAATGAACCCACTCGAAAACAAACTGGGGGAAACACAAAAAAGGCAGCAACAGAAGTTCTTGTACAAAATTAGCAAAATTAGGAATAAAACACAACAATCTAGTTCAAAAGGCATCATTTGGGCCCTCTTCTGTACCAAGTGGCTCTACAATCGACGGTAGTGGAAAAATTCAGAAGAAAAAATAAGGCCAAAAATATAAAATAGTACAACACCAACTAATGAGGAGGTAAGACAAAAGAAAGGGAAACAAATACCCGTACAACACCAATTAATGAGGAGATTTTAAAGATGAAGAGAAAGAAGACGACATTGGCAATAAAAAAACGACAGAAGAGAAAGAAAGGGAAAATTAATGAGGAGGTCTCAAGCATGCGAGAGATGAAGAGAGAGGAGAGGATACTGAGAAAAAAAAAACAAGAGAAGAGAAAGAAAAATGAGAAAAGATAAAAAAGCTGAAGAGAAACAAAGGGATGTGAGTCATGTGATATGTTTAAGGGCAGAGAGGTAACTTAACAAGGAAAGGGCTGTGATGTGGCAGAAACAAAGAAACCAAGCATCCTGCAATAATATTCATGATGAGATCGGATGGCTGTGGGAAGGGGTTACCATTGATGGATGGACCAGATCGAAGCAAAACATCCAAACAATGCACTTCAGTCACAAACAATAGTGACTTTGGGTCTAAAGCAACAGTAAATAGACAGTGTTTACTTCAGTCCTTTTAGTTTTTTTTTCTTAATGTGGTTTCCTGGTCTATAAAAAAACAAAAATTAAAAAAGTGTAGAATTTAATTATTTATGTCAATGGATCGTGAGCTTGGGCAAAAATTTGTGTCATTCTAAGTTTTCTATTAATTTTGATCGAACTAGAAAGACAGATTTTATATTATCTAGTTAATTTTTCTTTTTTCTTTTTTTTTTTCTGGATCATTTGAAAAATGTATGCATTAATGCATGTTTAGGTTTATAATCAATAGAAAGAAATTAATGGCTTTAAAATGTAAGAATTTTTTTATTATTAAAATTGGGGGCCCTTAGTTCTAAACTTCTAATACCCGTTCCGCTGGCCCAAGAAGATACCTTCTCCGTAAAACCAAACATCCCCAGGCCTAAAACACCATTCATCTAGAATAAAAAATAAATAGCGCCCAAAGCGGCAAACAATCAAACACTTGAAAGGCACTGCTGCTTACATGGCGCCATCCGCTTAAAAATCACAATAATAAAAAATTTCACTCCCTTCACCATTCTGTCTCTCCAACAACTACAACAATGTTCGGCACTCCATCTTCCACTCCCGCCTTCGGCATGCCGTCTTCCACTCCGGCATTCGGCACTCCCTCTTCTACTTCCTTTTTCGGCACTCCATCGTCGACACCAGCATTCGGCACTCCTTCGACGCCGGCTTTCGCTACTGGAGGATTCGGTTCTTCTTTATTCTCTACTCCATTTACTTCTCAAACTCAACAGCAGCAGCAACAACAAACTCCGCTTTTTCAGCAACCGTCTTCTACTGGTTTCGGATTTCAACAGCCGCAACAGCAACAGCAACAGCAGCAGTCTCCGTTCGCTACGCCACTTCAAATGACACCGATCCCCACTCTTCCTCAATTGACTACTCAGATGGCTCCCGTTGCTCCTCTTCCTTTCTCTCTCGCTGATCGCGACATTCAGGTTTGAACCCCCCCCCCCCCCCACCCACCCCCCACAAAAAAAACCCTAATTTAGATCAGTTTTCTTTCAATTTTTTGTTTTTATTTTAATATGTAGATTAAATTATGAGTTTTGTTTGTAGGCGATTGTGGATGCTTATAAGGAGGAGCCTGGGAACCCTAAGTATGCTTTCAAGGTACGTTTTATTGTTTTGCTTTTTTTTTACCAAATTTTTTTTGACTACTAAGGAAAATAAAAATGTTTACTCGGTGTCGAATTCTGTGATGTTTTGTTTCGTGAATGTGAGTTGGTAATTTACTCTATTTTCAAAGTGGTATGAGGTAAGGAATTAGGGTTTTGAAGGTTGACATGGTTTATGTGTTGGTTATTATTTTTGCAGTATTTGCTGTTCAGTGTAACTGATCCACAGCATAGACTGAAGCCTCCTGGTGTATCAGATGTGAGTCTATTTTCACTTTTATCGTTTACTTTTGTTCTGTTTTTGTTTGTGATTCTCTTTGAGTTTGTGTTTGGCTAAGTTTGGAGAATAGTTTGCTTTTGCTAGATCATGTGGGCGGAGGCTATGGCGAAGCTAGAGGGTATGGACAGTGCAGATAGAGAACGCCTTTGGCCTCAGCTTGTTCTAGGTTTCAAAGATCTTTCTAACCGCCTCAAGGTAGATTGTTCTTAATTTGAGGCATTGGTGTATGTCTTTTTGTTAAATAGATTTGTTATTTAGCTGTTGGTCCTGTGAGTGAGTAACAACAGGCCATCAACTTCTTTAAGAGTCACAAGTATTGAATTTGAAGGAGTTTTGCAAGCTAGAGGTTAGAAGGTCATGTCTTTTTTTTTTTTTTTTTTCCCTTTAACTTGGTTAGTGATAGTTATCATTTGGTATGTCTGCCAACTAAGATTTTCCTACTAAGAATATGCTCTGTATATTATGAAATTCTGTGGTTCTTTTTTACTGGAAGAGGATTTTGAGTTCTAATAATGTAAAATATCTGGTTTAAGGTTCTGTGATTGGTTTCTACCTACCGAACTTAACGGTAATTGTACAGCTACCTATATGCTTGATAATGCAGAAAAACTAGGTAATCAGATGACCACACACCTGTTATTAGAGAACAGTTGAAATACAAGTTTCCTGTAGAAAGAGTGGCTAAAGTAGGTCAAGAGATGTTTCTGTGAAGGAAAACTGACACAGATCATCATTTTAAGGACTGGTAAGTGAGAAGTCATATATTTATATATTGAGAAGATGTAGTTTAATTCAGGCTGGATTAGGTAGCCTGCTTTTTCTCACTGCGTGTTGCAATTTCTCATAGAAGGAAAATGTAATGGAAAAAAAAAATTAGGGTTTATCTTGTAAGGCTTTATGTGTTATGCACTTTTCCTTGCAGTCAGCTTTTTCTGCTAATGGACTGTTCTAACTTAATTTTCTGACATTATAATGCTTTTTGCTAATTTGGTACAGCTTCAAGATGAAGTAATTGTTTCAGATGCAGAGAGATTGCAAATGACCCAAAGCAATGTAAAAATGGTACTGTCTGTCTGCCTTTCCACTCCACACGTCATATTTCTGGATACTGTTTTGACATGCAAGTATTTTTTTAAGCTTCAAAGGCATTTTCAAGCTGAGACTCTTCCATGGATTGAAAGAATGAGACAAAAAGAGCAAATTCTTCAGAGGCGTCTTTTAAGGGTGAGAATGGATGCTCTCTCTCTCTCTGTCTCTGCATGGCAAACTTAAATTTATTTGTTCCTCTTGGTCGGTATGTTTGTCATTTCCTGAATACTTTACGACATAGACAATGCATAGTTGTGAGATAAGCTTTCAGAATTTGTAATTCCCTTTTAACTTTTACATTTCTTTTACATTCAAGGGGAGAATGCATTTTGGGTTATTCTCACAACTATTTTTATTTCCACCCTGAGTTCCAATCTAAAATTGTGCATGAAATAGTTTCATGACCCTTGTATATCAAATTTAGACAAACATTGACGTTAAAACTTAAAGAGTATGCACTAGACAGAATTTAGTAAAAGTTAAGGGTTTTTTCTTTCCCTAGATTCATGGGGGCAGGGCTTGTGGTTAGCTTCATAATTTTTTGTATTAGATGCTACTTGTTTCCTTGAACTGCCCTTTTATCAATAACGTCTTAGGAATCCTTTTTGATTTGGATGCTTAACTTAATGCCACTGTTCTGTCCTTAATTGTTATATGGAATGCAAGATGGTTAACATTGCATCAATAATTGCTACAAGATTGAAATTATTGAGTTAATTGTGAACTAGTCCCAGCAGTTTAATGAAATTAATTAATTGGTCCTCTAGGTTTAAAATAGTATTGTTTAATCCCTATGATTTTAAATTCCATTAATAACTTAGTTCTTTTGTGAATCCAGCTTTTTTTAATTTAACATCTTTTTTCCTTTTTTTGAAAATATAAAAAAAGAAAAGAGAAGTAGGTGAGATTAGAAAAGAATGTATTTTTGGGGGAAAAAAAACTACTTAATTTAGGATGGTCAACTTTGGTCAATGGACTATTTTATCTTCTTTAATACGAAAGGGACTAATTAATTAGTTCCAGAAACTACAAGGACTAAGTTATATTTAATTCTGAACTGTTCAAATTGAAAGTTCAAGGTCCAAAGTGATATTTTAAACTGTGAGGTTCATAATACTTGTTTCTGAGCATCTTGTGTAGGAAATCTATGCATGCAGTACTGGATAACTTATTCTAACATCTACTTTTTCCTATCATACGCATGAAGGTGATGAGAATAATGGAGGCATTGGAGGGTAAGGGTTGCCGATTGCCCTTAACAAAAGGGGAAGCTGAATTGGCTGAGAAGTTAGCTGCAATAACCAGACAGGTAGGTGTTTCTTGTCCTCTCCCTCATCTTTACACTTTGCATTATCAATTAACCTGCATCAAGGGATGGTATTAACAAGTAGACACTATTTCAGCTAAAAGGATCTGGAGCAGAACTTTCTAGGAGAGTTCAAAACCTACTTACTGTATCTCGTGTTCAAGCGAATGGAATTGGTGCTGGAGGTTCTCTTTATCTTCCAGGATCAACCAAAATACATGAAGAAAGTCTTGCTGATATGCAGGAGGTAAGACTGGGACAAGTGGGGTATAGATGTTACTCTCTCAGTGATAATCCTTCTTGCTAAGCTTGTTGCTTCTTTCTCATACCCATCAATGCGTTTACAACAACAATGATATAGTAACATTTAGTTTGGAGAAAATTATTGTTTATTGTCCTTCAAATTGTATTTATTGTTAATAACAATAAAAATAAAAAAGGAACGGCTCTGCAGTAATACTGTTTTTTTTTTTTTAATGTGAAGAGATTTTCATTTTTCTATTTTGATGAATCAGGGTCCTATACAGTTTGCAATTACAGTTATAATGCTTCTGTTTTGATCTTTATAGGAATAGATATGATAGATAACAAGTGACTGGTTTTGTGGGCAGGTTTTGCAACAGCAGACTGAAGCTGTCGCAAGGCTTGGCAATGTGTTGAAGCGAGATATTAGGGACATGGAAATTATGATGGCTGAGGACACAGAAATGACAGGATAAATGAAGCAGAGATACGATGAGCTCTTGCTGATCCTTTGACCTGTTGCAGTTTTGTTACTGATTCAATTAAGAAGTGATCTGCGATTAATTTAATTCAACTCTGACAAGAGCTGTCATAAACTAATCTCAAAATTCTCTCCCCTCCCAGTGTATTTTTGTGTTTTTAAGCACCAACCCTCCCCCACCCATCTCTTTCTTGGCTCAAATTTGTTAGTGTCTGCTTTGTGACTTCATAAGCAGCAGTGATGGTGCAGTTACCGAATGGATCATCGTAGCTGTTACTGCATTTGTCAAGGGGGATCTCAATAGATTAAGGATGATGCTCCCAGCCCTAGGGAGGAAAGGGTCTAAACGAGTTTCCCTAATAGGCTCTTTATTTCGTGGGTTGTAGTTCAACAGTTCAACTATGTGCAAGCATAGTGTAATGTGATTGATGTTTTTGTGAGAAATTGCTAGTTTTCAACCCTACAGGCTTTCTGGCCATTCATGATAGAAATAACAAGATTTAGCGACAGCATCAGGATTCGAACTTTCAGATTTTGATTTCTCCAGCCGAACTGAAGTTATTGGTTTGAAATCGCAAGGCGGATGCCATTACTTTTAACAAAAGCTTCTCCTTAATATTCTTATGGTCACTGCTACGGTCATGAAGTTATCGAAGGAACTGGATCTGTTTAGTGGATTACAATTCGGTTGTCAGGCATGAAGAGTGTTTAGCCATGCAGTTCAATGGTGACCTAATTTTGGCAAATGTTTGGCTAACAAAGAACCTCCAAATATTGTTTCCAATGCCAAATGGAGAAACTTTAAGATGGGGGCTTTTTAGTTTCTATCCTGATTATATGAATAATTAAACTAGTAGGGAAAAAATGAATGCAATTGCACTTGTAGAAACCTTAAGATGGAGCTTTTTAGTTTTTCTGCCAAATGTATGTTCACTTAAACTTGTACGAATGCTGATTATATGTATAATTAAACTTGTAAGGAAAAAATGAAAGCGATTAGAATTAAAGAAACTGTAAGATGGAGCTGTTTAGCTTTAATGCCGACCATGTAAGGATATATTGATAGGTTTTTCAAATTTTAATGGTTTGGTACTTTATAATTACAAGTACTTATAAAGGCACATTACCAAATATTGTAAGAAACAAAAAATGATATTCTCAAGTTAGTTTTTGCACATCATCAGCTATATTAAGACCGTTGTATTTTTAAGAAAATATATTTTTTTATAACAACTCAAAGGATTCAAAACCTGAAGGATGATGTGTACAATAAACCCATTTATCAACTAAATTAAGCTTTCAAGGGCTTTTGCAGCTATAACTACAAATAGAGTGCGGTTGTGATCTGTGAACAAAGCACTCCTATTTCCTTACCAAATATGCGTTTAGTTACTCATGCATTCGGTTAATTGAGTTTCTGGTAATCCAAAATATAGTAGTTTTAGAGAGGTGCGAAATGGTAAACTAGCAACTCTTGCGTTCCTTCCGTTATAGTTTGAATTTCCCAATTGTTTGCACAAGGTTATATAATACACAATTCCATGCCACAAAAAAATAAATAAATAAATAAAATAAAAAATAAAAATCCTTGAGCCACAAAAAGTGCAATGGCAATAAGAAAAAGTTATAATCTATAATTTAACAATTGGAATTTTATACTAACCAACCAAGTTTAATTTTGACAACAATTGTTAAATGAATTTTAATATTCCCGATATTTATTTGCACGTAGAGTTTCTTGTGTAATTAGTTGAAAGTCTTCTTTCATAGCCCTTTAACCAAAAAGTTAAAAAAAAAAAAAAATTGTTGGACCCAAGGAAAATTCATAATAGAAAACTCAACACACGAGTCCTACAAAATCATGCTAACAAATCCTGGTTTTTACAACAGATCATCAGTTCCGAACCTTAAAAAATGGATGGAGATTTAGGAATAGAAAAACGACACACGAGTCATACAAATCAACCTAACTGCCTTCATTGTGTAACTCTAACCAGGACCGTTGGGCCTCTTGTCGTACAAAAAATATCATTAACCTGGAAACAAATTTCCCCAAAAAGAAGACCCAAATAAACACAATATCAGGTTGTCAACATAATCCGTAGCATTTCCCGTCTGTTCCGTTGTTTGGGTATATAATTCAGCACATTAAATTCAGGGATCTGTAATCATTCTGAGAAAGTAGGACAAGGAAAATTTATAAAGGTGTCTAACCAGGTAAGTTGCAAGGAATTTGCGTATGTAGAGCAGTAAAACAAAACGGAAAAAACAAGACATTAGCACAGCTTATGACCTTTCTATCCAAAATCGTTCAACTTCCTCAAATTGTACAAGAAACCCCATATGGGGTGCCCTTACTTGCACAAAATATGTTGTACATTATATTTCTCGGCTTAATATTTGCCGTTCCTTTCATGGGTAAATAAAAATTATTGATATTTAAGTATAAGCTTCTGCCATTATCAGTAGCACAAGTGACGTCCAACCAGTAAACAGGCGCGCACCCTTTCCTTTACCCTTCTTCTGGTCATACTGTTCCCACAAAAACCCGGTTTGGTGATAGTTTTGAACCACATTCCTGCAGCAAGACAGCAGAAATGTTTGAATAAAGTAACAAATGTGCATAGGGTTCCTCAAAATAGAAATATAATGTGTTGCGACAATCTTATTAAATGGGGTTTGCAGGGTACAGTACCTAATCAAATTACCCCTCAAGTCATCATAGATTACCCTGGCTCTGTCTCTATATGGTCCATCCACTGCAAAAACTTAAATTAGATTAAGCATGAAACTTTAGGAGGCAAAAAAATAAAATTATAAATAAAAACAGAACAGAACCCTTCCTTTTCTATTTAAGGCACCCTTCTCTTTCTATTGATGGGAGGGGCCAATGCTGCTTCAAATGGTAAATTCTTCTGCTCCCAGCCAAAAGGCTGGGAATCGTTCTAGTCTTTGAGAGCAAAGCTTCATGCAAAAGTGCATTATTGAACTATCTATTCCTGCCCCAGTGGTCCCACTTCAGTGGACATTAACTACATAATGGACCCTTTTCTCTTTCCCCAGTGGATTGAGTCAGTGGATGATACCTTTGGAGTAGTGGAAGAGTGAAGAAAGAATCATGTAATTCATGTTCATCCAAATTGGGCCTCTCCAGTACGGTGGGTCATGCTCCGTGTTGCGTTTCATGTACATAGAACTGTTGCACACATGATTAATGTTTCAGTATCTAGAAATAAAAGGACCATGAAGCAATGCCAAAAAAGAGATAAAACATTAACCTTGTTTTGGAAAGAGAACGGAGTCCATAGTCTGTCCATAAAATGGTACTGTTTGAAATGAGATCAAGCTGTTTCTCCAGAATCCATGAATCCTACAGAAGGAAATAAACATGAGAAATCTACAATAAGCTCAATTGACCAAAAAAAAAAAAAAAAAAGGAGGAGAAGCATAGCTACACCATGCTACAAGGAAGCTAAGACAAGTGTGAAAGAAACTGATGAAACAATTTTTTTCAGTGACCAATATTCCATGAAAGGTGAAACTTACAGATGGAATAATCTTCCCCATGAATGGAAAAAGGCTGACATATCCAATATGAGGAACAAGTCTTAATACTGGCCTTTCTAGTACATCACGAACAAGTTCTCGAGTTCCCACAGTTGTCTCTTTCCAACTTAAACGAACCTAGGATGCTCATACCAATGTTAGCATCAGTGAGAAAATTTCATAAGAACGGGAGGCTATGCTCAACCAAACAAAAGCAAAATATTGACTCCAACATGGAATGCACCTTGCCTAACAATAGGTCCCAGGATTCAGCTAAAGCAAATCATTACCATGAGAACATGCAAGAATACTAAGCCAGTAATTTTACCATCTTCATTAGATATAATAGTAGGACTAGCAAATTGTAGTCCAGCACCAATCAGTATTGACTAACTTAAAAGGTTAACAATTAAGCCAGAAGGACGAGCTCCAGATGTTTTCAAGGTTAGTTAAATATTCTCCTCTGAGTAACTTGAAAGACAACAAAGATGACACTAGTATATTGAAGGGAATATAAATAACTACACAAATAAGCAATCTGATCATATTGACACATAATCCACTGTGTCAGTGAGCATATGTTAAAGGTACAAATTTCTGAGAAAACAGAAACAATGGAGTGTACCTTTTCTGTATGGTTTCCAAAATCAAAATAAGCTCCAACCGAAGGATCAAGGTGCATCTGTACAACATCAAGTATACATGATATAAAGTACTATGCAGCACCAGTGAGTAGCATTAATGGCAAAGGAATGAAATGCAACTTAACTACCATGGAAAAGACAGACAAACCTGATTCAGCATTTCAAAATCTGATAGTAGCTTAGCAGTTGAACCATATTCCTGCATCATTTCAAATGCTCAAAAACTATAAAGCATTAAATTAGATTTCAAGTTTTGACACTGTTCCAGATACCTAATCTGCTAGTTATACCTTTTCAGGCTTATTATCCTTCTTACGCAACTGTGTAATGGAGTGCATACAATTTGCAGCGAGAAGCATCCAGCACCTAAGATCCACATGTCGTTCTTCCTCACTTGGATGTGAAGCACGAGGATAATCATCCAGCCCAGAGGAAAGTGTCTAGAGAACAGAAATAATGTCAGAACACCAGTGTTGTTGATGGAAAGAAACAGAAGCACAGCTACTAGCAATCATACCATGTAAATTTAGACACCACCATGCATAATATTTGCATAAAATTAGACAATCATACTCTTTAACTTCTTTGACTCTGGAGGGAAAAAAGTAGGGAAAACAGAAATTAATTCTTAAAAGATAGGACCCTCTGAAAAAAAAAATAATAATCTTCAAAGTTTCCAAATGGTTTCAATTAAGCTCTTTCTTCCAATTCCGTTGATGGCAGTTAACAACCTGCTAAGAACAAATGTGCCAAGCACTTTCCATGCTATCTTTCTTTGACATCTTTAAAGCTAAAAAATAACAAAAAACATTTTTTTAGAATCCTTCCTATACATTTATTAAAAAGAAAATAACAAATATTTATTTTCTGATAGTCTTCATCTTCTACACATATCAAGTTTGCCTCTTTTTCTTCTAATCCATATCTCTGGCTACCATCATTGATATTTTATCGGCATCAAGATCTCTCTTTGTCTTTATGCTACCCTTTCTTTTCTTTTAACATATATTATGATTCTATTTAACGTTCTTTTCTCTTGTAGGATTTCTGTTTCTAATTTTGTGACAATTCTCAATATCTTGTACATTGTTACTCTTGAATTTAATGTGCCAAGCCCTTTACCATAACATGAATTCCCAACTTCTTTCGTGGGTTCTACTCCTACAGTTGCATTAAAGAGAGCACAGGGATAAGGGAGACCAGTTAATCAGTGAATTATCTCATTTGCAACCATTTATGCAAAGGGCTCTATAAATGTATAGTGACTATCTGGTGAACAATTTGAGAAGACGATGAGAAGCAAATGGTTTTGAGATTTCTGTTTTCAGGGAGAAGTCAGATTAGCTCTTGCCAGTTCTTCTTTAAATTGTTATTTAGCTCTTTAAATTATTCCTTTAAATTGAGAACATTTTCATGGTGGTTTATAAAAAATGAATTAATATTGTCTATCATTAAACACTAGAAGTGTGAGAATTAAGGTTTTTATGAAACGAAAAGCTCAAATCAATTTTTTGCCTGCTTTAATTTTATCAAAACAGTAAAAATTCAATTTAAACAATTCTTTTTTCAATTTATATCTCACTCCTTTTTCCACATTTTTCAGCCAATTAATTGGATACTGTGTAAGCATTTCACCATCTTTTAACAGTGCATATGAGTTCTAACATTTGTTATAATGTTTTTGCAATGGAATTGACAGATGGGCATAATTGGAACTACTAGTTAATAGGGGCCCAATTGATTTCATCTAAAGACCAACTGTCACCAGTCATCACCACTATGGTTTAAGGACTTATTTGTACTTTTCAAAGTTTTTGAAAAGTAGAAAACTGTAAGCTCAAAACCTTTGGATTTAGTTCCCTTGCTGCTTTGTTGTCTCTCCCGTGCCAATAATAGCTGTTCATCTCTTTCCCTGCATCCACAAAGGTAAATTAAAAATGTGTGTTAATATACATCTCAGCATGTTAACACCTTTCAAGAATGTTTCGTGCAAACATCTGACAGAATATACATGCTTCAATGTTCAGAAAGCTAAGGGCATATTTTTCTTTTCTTTTCCATCAACAACTAAACTGAGCAGCAACTTAAAGAAGCATGTAATTGTTAGTTACCTGGGCAGGGGAGAAAGCAAAGAACAAATCCTTAAGCCAACTGTTTTTGGCTGTGTACTAATTATTTCTCATGATTTGACAGCTAAGTTTTTATTGACAGTTACACTATAAAGAACCTCCAGCTGCTTAAACCTATTTAGAAATCTGGCATAAATTAATATAGTGCAGAATCCATTGCTGTAAAAAAAAATGGAATACCTTTCTGAGTAGTGTTGAACCACTGGAACCAAGCTTCCAAGCGAACAAAAGCCCGTTCTAAGAAGGAAGTGATCTCATTGCTTTCAGTGGCAGTGAACTTGTCTTTCTCCATTCCATCAAGCAGATCTGGAAATGGCAACATTTCATCCCACATTTGCAATCATCTTTATACAATTTGACCATAAGTGCACATAAAAAAACATTTACCAAATAATTTAATCTTTAGCAAGTATCTGAAAGAACATGCACATCATAAATTATACAAAAATGAAAACAACTTGTTTGAACCACCCTAGGATTTAGCAGATGAGAAGGAAGAAAATAAGTTTCTTTAGTGTTGTGTGATCTGTACTTTTAAGGAAGACAATTTCTCATTAAATCAGAAGCTTTTCTTGATATTTAGAAGGATAGGTGTTGCTCTCTGCAAATTACACATCAACCTTAAGAAGAGCTAAAGTAATTCTATCACCCAGTAAAGAAGCATGCAATATCTGTACAATAAAGTGATGGACATCAAAATGTAATTGCAAAGAGCCTTACCACGAATAACCAAAAATAGGGTTGGGGGGTTTCCATTAGTTGGATGCTGAACAACAAATTCCTCTGGAACCTTACTGCAATTAAAAAGACATTGCAAAATTACTTCAGGGACAAATCTGGCAAATAACCTTTCCAGCCAAATTTAGGATTTTTTTTTTTTTTTTTAAAGAAGCCAGTCAAACTTTAAGATTTAACTTCACTTCAAAACTGGAACAACACGCTTACATACCTTAGAGCTTCAGAACCCAAAATTTGCTCCCGTGGAATCCATCCATCAATGTTCATTAAATCTAACCAGTGTCCAAGAATATCCAAACATATCTGGATATCCCAACGCCTACTCACACCCAAAAAAATGATCACTTAGCCTGACAATAATACAGCTTAACTCCATACTGTAAATGGGAATTAGACCTGACCAGATCAACAGTTGATGAAAACCTTCATCCCATAGAAATCCCCTTGGAAAGAATGGTCTGCTTGGAACAGCTGTATACAATTCAGCCGGCCAATATGAAATAAAATTATCATGTCCTCTAAACTGCAAGAAAAAATGGTCAACTGTATGGATTTGTCAGACATGAACAATGATAATGAATCATACATAAAAAGAAACGGGTAGGTCAGATGAATTGTGAATGCAGGAAAACATCTCTTTAACAAGATAAGTGTAGAAGACAGAGAGGTCCTAGCATCTAATGAACTGATATAGATAACGCTTGCTCATTATTTGATATTTCTTTCTTACTACCCGTCCCCACACTATACGGCACATGGAATCCTAACTGCAAAGACATGAACAAGTACACTTCGCATAAGTTGGACCTATATGAGCATTGATTTAGCATTGCTAAGATGTTGAATAGACTTCTCCCATCAAAATGTGCCATTACGTCACAATTTTAAATTAAAAAGTGACTCTCTCAAAGCCTTTTCCTATCACAATTATGCTTTTAAAACAAGTGCTGCAATTTTGAAAGCAGAAAGAATAGCCAAGTTAATCAACTAAGAACCAGAAGCTTAAGAAGCATTCAATTGAGAGATGACTCAGTACTCGAAACACAGATAGTAGAAATTTATGCTATTAATGAAGAACAGGATTTTAAATTGAGCAATTTAACTGCTATGCACTTATTAAAGAGATCATAGGTTGCACGAAAAATAGAAAATAAAAAACAAATGCATCCAACTTACATTAGAACTTCCAGGATATGAAATCTTTGATCGACCATAAAAGTAGCCAATGCCTCCCAACATATTGGCGAGAGCTGCCTTTCCAACAATTGTGAATTCAGATTCAAGCTGAGCAAACAATTAGAAGATGTCAGAATTCTTTTAATTCAAGCAAATATGTATTTGGGTTACTTTACAACTGCCACTTCATAATAATCTTAAAAATAACTTTTACAATGCCAGAGAATGATGTCTAAAGCCTATTGGAATGCATGCCTTACTGGTGCTTAGGATAACAGTTTAGTATTCATCAATTATTACTGTTACTATGACATATGACTTCATCTCTCAAATTTACCCAATGAAATCAGAGGATATCTCTTTTAACGTTATGTCCTCCAGCACAAGTGAGAAAATCCCCAAAATATCAGCAATGGGTTTGTAAAAACTTTGAAGTTTATAGAAGGAGAAAATATTTGATAGAGACAAACGCAACATTTCAAGGGCTACTTTTGCAAGAGAGTAAGATAAAACACTCAGATAAGACAAATTCCAGGAAGAGTGAAGAAGGTATCATTAAGAAACAGGAAACAGGGTCTTGGATAGGCCCCACATGCACTTAAGGACAATGTGAGTCCTTAAAAAATTAAACCAGATGCTCAAATTGCACAAGATTTTTCAGTTATAGCATTTGAATCGTTTTAGTTTCTACATTCATCATATCAGAGAATAGTAACTCCTATCACACATCATCTATATAACAATGAAAAGGACATCAAGCACCAGCAACACACTCAAAGCTGAGCATGATGATACAATTTGAGGAATAGAACACATTGTACTTTCCCTAGATATTTACCTTGTCAGCAACATTAAAGCACCGCTCAAATTTGGAATCAAACTCTGTTTGCTTATCTTGTAGCTGACTTGTCAACGAGGTACCTGAGCAGTATATATAAAAATAAGATTTTTTTTTTTTTTGTTTTTTTGGTGGCAAATATAGAAGCCCTGTGTAATAGAGAATGCCATAAGAATGATAATTATCCAATTTTGACAATAGATCACCCTACATTACCAGGATTCTCTACTTTCCCAGTTTGTTAGGGCACAGAATCATGTAGGGGAAGTGATAAGAAATTGAATAGAACTAAGGGAAAATCTCAATATATAGGAAATAGGTGAAGAAGGCCAATTTTTTATGGAGATGGAATGGATATGGACAAAACCTGTAAGCCTGCTCACACGTCCTTCTACATTTGAAGTTTTCACTTCAGTTCCAGATATAAAAGCAATATCTGCTTTGAAAGGAATACTTGCAGAAATCTGCAAGATTTAGAAATGTCAATGTGATGTAGAGTCTATAAAACAGTCCCCTGTATTTTAGGACAAGAATTATCCTGAGCACACATAAGTACCTGAAAAACTAGAATGTTTGGATAATCTTCGGAAGAGTCAGATAGCAGCAGTTGGCCAAACTTTCTTACCTGGCAAGATGCAGCAATGCAACACGGAAGAAATCAAGACAGACCAGAAATAGGAACTCAAAACATGTACACTTCCTGTAAGATATTAGAACACCAAGATATTTGAAAATAAAAACTTAAACGGTGGAATACTTGGGCTCCAAGATTTTGCAGGACAAGATCAGATAAATTATGAATATGGGGTGTCCTGAAACCAGAATAGTGGAGCTCCAAAACATCCTACAAAACAAGGAAGTTGGCTGCAGATCAAGATCTAAGATAAAAAGAAACAACATCAATAGACAATTAACAGTTGCAAATGTTGATAACAAGGAAAAAACAAAGATTAGTAATGCAAATTCGCAAAGCAAGGTGAAAGATGACATTTGCCAACCCATTTCCATATTACCTTGGATTCCAAATGCAGCTGCCAATTCCCAACATCAGACCGTGAACCTGATGCTAAAAGAGAGTTCTTATCAACGTCTAAGGTATCTCCTGTTAAACTTAGGGCACGTCCACTTTCATCAGCCAAATAGAAGAACAGATGCCCATGTCTCAGCATTTCATTATCCCACCCAGATCTACAAAATCGCCATGAAAAACAACAATTGTATCAGAAACCTTAAACAGCCAGCTACATGAATTTTCTCATTCAAACGATATATCTACCTAGTGGGAAAAAACACATAGAATGCATCACACAAATTGGATGGAGAAATCATTCATGTAGCAGGTAAAACCAATTACTTGTCAGTTTGCACATCAATTCGAACTGCCCAATCACCTCCATATCCACTCCCTTCACTCTTGGATTTCAAGAAACTCGTAGCTAACTTCAATCCCTGATCAACCAACACCTGATGTCCAAAATCACGACCATTATGCTGCGTCCAGCCATACGTGTTAAGCTCATCAGAGTCTTGACACACGTGCCGCATATGATACATTCCACCCTTCACACCAACCCACATCAATCCAGCAATCAAAGACCGAGGAGTCCTGCCAACCAAGTCAGAGACCAACATTTAAAACATTTCCAATTCAAACATTACAGGAACAATGCCATAACCTAAAAGGATAAAACCACAAAATAAATAAATTAAAAAGTAATTAACATATAATTACCTAGCGCGAATTCCGAGATAAACATGAGGACGATAAGTTCCCCAATACAAGCTCTCTTTGTGCTCTCCTTGAAACTAAAAACCATGATGAATTAATCTAATCAACAAATATTAAATTAAAAAACATAAAGAGATTAATTGAGGAATTAATTACTGCTTACTTGAGGAAGGTCCATGAGTTTAGGAGAAGGAAATGGAGTGACAACCCTAGGTCTTTGTGCTTGTTCAGCAGGCTTTATAATAAGATTGCGAATCAACAAAAAAATAACGAAGAAACCCAATACGCTAATGCCTAGCATGATTTTTATATCAACCTTCAGAATTCCAATCGAATTCTCATTTTTACTTCTATCTCTTCGTCTAGGTTTTCTGTTGCGAACAGAATTGTTGTCATCGTCGACGTCATTTGCTTCTGTCCAGGACTTCGTTCTGATTCGCGCATTCCTCCGGCTATTGCCTGAACTCATCTTCTTCTTCGTATTCTGTTTTTCTGTTTTTTCCACACTGACTTAAATTGAAGTCAATTCAGTTCAGTTCAGTGATGAAAGCAAAGGACTTGGGTTATGGAAAATGAATATGGGCTTGGACCGAAAGTGTAAGCTCGTCATCCGTAGAGATTTATAAGGCCAGGCAACTACAGAAACTCATCAGATTATATATATAACTCAAAACTGTTTAAATTACACTGAACTTGATTAAATTATTTAATGATTTGATCTAAATATACTCAAATCGTAGAACTATAAAACGAAAGATCCTCTTACCACGTTTCTCTTTTCTAGTACTTACTTTTTTTCCTTTTAAAACACAAAGTTGTAAAAGCTTTTTTCTTTTTTTTTTGTTTACCTGATGCTAGTTACGTAGAATTTTTTTCACTAAATATTTTATTAATAGATATATCAATTTATGATAACCATCAAATAATTTAATGATGGTAAATGTTACTTTTTTAATTAAAGGTAAATGTTACTTAGAATATTATTCATTGAATAATAAGATTCACTCCTCCGTGATTTATAAAATTTGATGTATTTTGATAAACACATAATATAATATAAGATATCAAAATGAAATAATTTTTAAAAATAATTTTACATATTTTATCCTACTCGTAGCGTAGCACATGTAAAAAATCTAATTTAATTACTAATTAGTCTTTAATATAATTATAATTACAATAAAACTAAACTAAAATCATTGGTTATTATTCACCGTACTATTTGAAATATTATTCACTCCGACTCATTTCATCATTCATTCAGACTAAAATACACTATTCATTTCACTATGTAGTGATATTTTTATAGTTTTTAAATATTTTAAAGACATTTATTATGAAAGTTTTCATGATATTACACTTTGGTCTTTCTTTTTAAAATATTTTTTATTTGAATTTGGTCTCACTTTTTTGTTTCATTTTGGTCACTTTGGTCGTTACTTTTTTTCTCTAATTTTTTTAATGAAAAATTTTAAGACAAAAAGATATTTAGAAAAAAAAAAAAGCAATTTATAAAATAAGGTTTTAGCTAAAAATATAGATAGAGATAAATAAATAATTTTTTAATAAAAAATATGAAAATATAAAAAATAATTAGTCAAATACAAAATTTTAATTAAAAAATAATAAAATTAAATGAATTTTTATTTAGTTTTGATCTGATATATTTTAATAGAAGCATAATATAACATGAGACATAAAATCGAAATAATTTTTTAAAAATAATTTAATATATATATATATATTAAGGAAGTTATTATCATTGACAGATGACAAAAAATGATGTCGGGAAATTTTTACGCTCCATATCCCCAACTACTTTTCAGTCTCAAGTTTCAATGTTGATTTCTTGACCCCACCTTAAGCAAGAGAAGTAGTAAAATGAGGTTCATGGTGATAATATTATTATGGAAAAAAAAATAAAAAGGTCAACTTTGAGGACCGACGCGCAGTTCTAGCCTCCCAGACATACGATCAGGAAGATCTGAATTTACGGATGCATGCACTTGTTTATAGCTGACATGAGAAGAAATGATATTATTATTTTATTCTCAGAAAAATCAAGAAAATAAAATTAAATCTTAGATAAACTTTAACTTTATACTTAAAGATTCATCAATATTCCACTTCCATCTCTATAGTTTAAAATTTTGAAATAGTATCCTTCTAGTTCTCTTAAAGTCTTAATGTTACCCCTAATCATTATATAGCATACCTTTTAAATTAGGTTTTTTTTATTTTTTTTAGGTTTCTAACCTTTTTTTTTTTATGGGACATATTGTAGCATATATGTGGACTTGACACTTGAGAGGAGAAAATGAGAGAAAAGGGAGAAAATATATAAAATAAAAATGTGAAAATGTCATTAGCGGTAAAGGGCAAAATTTAAAGATATAGGAGTAGAAGTGAAACATCGATAAATCTATAGGAACAAAAATATAGTTTACCCTTAAATCTTCTTGCATTTCCTTCCTATCATGGGTTCATATGCCCTTTTTCCAGGGTCATAATACTCATCTTCATCGTCGTCATTGTTGACTAGTAGCTAGTGTGCATAAATGCTGACAGCAAGCTCTTCTACGTACAAACCAGAAGATGCATTTGTCGTCGTCTTTTAAAAAAAGATTTGTATAGACAGGTCTTTTGTTAGAGTGGTTATGGCGAAAGAGAAAACCTGCTTCCAACTTTTATTTATGTGTTTCCTTTACTTGTTCTCAAAATTTCTCTCTCTCGAAGCTACTACTAAATTGAGTCCTCATTCCAGCGTTTCCAACGCTGCAGCTTGCATTGAGGTTGAGAGGAAAGCACTTATTAGTTTTAAAGAAGGTCTTAAAGACCCTTCAGGTCGGCTATCCTCTTGGGTTGGTAAAGATTGCTGTCAATGGGCGGGCGTAGGTTGCAGCAAGCAGACAGGGCATGTCATCAAGCTTCATCTCCGAAATCCACACAATTCTACCTTTATTGATCCTGGTGATTCAAAGGAGTTAGAAGATTACAAGTTTTCATGCTTAAGCGGTAAAATAAGCCTTTCTTTGCTTGAGCTCAAGTACTTAAATCTCCTGGATTTAAGTTGGAATGATTTCCAAGGAGAACCAATCCCAGAATACATTGGTTCTCTCAGTGATTTAAGTTATCTTGATCTCTCTAGTGCTTCATTTTCTGGACTAGTTCCCCCTCATCTTGGAAATTTGTCAAACCTTCGTTATCTTAATCTTTATTCTGATTCCTACCGACCATATGTTATTGATAATACATTTGTTTCTGATCTGAATTGGATCGCTAGACTCCCTCATTTGGAGTACTTGAATCTAGGATACATCAACCTTAGTTTGGCATCCAACACTTGGATGCAAGTTGCTAATATGCTTCCTTCTCTGTTGCAATTGCATCTGCAGAATTGTGATCTAAGAAACTTTCCTGATTCTCTTCCAACAATGAATTTAAGTGCTCTTCGGATCCTTCGCCTTGGAGATAATAATTTCAACCATTTTTTGCCTCACTGGTTGTCCAATATTAGTACTCTCGAGGTCCTTGACCTTAGTAATTCTGGAATTAAAGGCCCCACAGCTCATATCTCCTGGAGAAAACTTTGCAACTTGCAGCTTTTATATCTGTCAAATAATGATGTTAGTGGGGAGATAGTTGAACTCGTTGAGGGTCTGTCTGAATGTAGTAATACTAGTTTGGAGGAATTACAACTGGTAGGTAATAAATTGAGTGGACAGATACCTGAGTCAATTGGACATTTTAAGTATTTGAGATCTCTATATCTTCCAAGCAACTCTTTTTCAGGTTCAATTCCATCATCTATTGGAAGGTTGACTGATTTAGAGACATTAGACTTGAGTTCGAATGCTATGAATGGGACGATCCCTGATAGCATTGGACAGTTATCAAGGTTAGTTTCTCTGAATCTAAAGTGGAATTCTTGGAGAGGTGTTGTGTCTGAAACTCATTTCTTGAGCCTTGCAAAGTTGGAGAGATTCTATGTATCATCTGTAAGAATGTCTCTCGCTATCAAGATTAGAAATGAGTGGGTTCCTCCTTTTAGTCTTCAAGACATTGAAGTTGTGGATTGCCATTTGGGTTCCACATTTCCTCAATGGCTTAGCACGCAAAAAAACCTTTCCACTCTGACCTTAAAAAATGCAGCAATTTCAGGTGAGATTCCTGATTGGCTTGGGAAATTATCTCGACAACTTTTTTTGTTGGATCTTTCTGGTAATCAATTTGGTGGAGAAATCCCCAGTTCACTAGAGTTTAGATCAAGTGCTTGGGTTGATTTGAGTTCCAATTTCTTGGAGGGTTCACCCCCAATTTGGTATAATGTGAGTGTACTAAGGTTAAAGAGTAATTTGTTGTCAGGTCCTATGACTCTGAATTTCTGTCAAGAAATGTCATCGTTAACGGATCTAGACCTTTCAGGGAACTCTTTAAATGGTAGCCTTCCCCCATTCATAAGTAGACTAAAGAATTTGGGAACACTTGTTCTTTCAAATAATCTTTTGTCTGGAAACATCGATATTCCTTGGAAGGAAATGAGTTTGAGTACCATTGACTTGTCCAGGAACAATCTATCTGGGGACATTCCCGATTCAATTTGTTTTTCACCCTACCTTGAAGTTTTGAAATTGTTCAGCAACAACTTCTCTGGAGAACTCTCTCCATCTTTACAAAATTGCACAGGTTTGAGCCTCTTAGACCTTGGAGAAAATAAATTCTCTGGAACTATACCGAAGTGGGTTGGGGATAACCTATCTATACTGTCAGAATTAGGACTAAGAGGCAACATGTCAGTGGAAACATTCCAGAGCAACTATGTCATCTCCCTCATCTCCATATCTTAGATCTAGCTAATAATCATTTATCCGGTTTCATTCCTCCATGTCTTGGCAATTTAAGTAGCTTGCAATCTCCATCTTTCTATGAACCGGATCCTCCAGACTTTGATGTTTCCTATCGGCAGAGCATGGATTTGATTGTGAAGGGACAACAACTTGAGTACAACCTCACACTTCGCATTGTAAATGTCTTAGACCTGTCTAGGAATACTTTGAAGGGAGAAATTCCAGAAGAGATAACTAATCTCACATACTTGGGTACCTTGAATATATCTTGGAATCAATTGACTGGAAAGATTCCTGACAAGATTGGAAGCCTAAAATCGTTAGAAACTCTTGATCTCTCAAACAACCATCTTTCAGGTCTTATTCCTCCAAGCATGTCTTCCATGACTTTCTTGAATCACTTGAATTTGTCACACAATAACTTATCAGGACCAATTCCATCAACCAACCAATTCCAGACCTTCAATGATCCATCTATATATGAAGGTAACTCTCAGCTTTGCGGATCTCCATTACCAAACAATTGTTCAGCACCTGGTAATGAAGCACCAGAATTCAAGGATGAAGATGATGGCGAAATGCTGTGGTTTTACTTAGGCATGGCAGCAGGTTTTGCCGTGGGGTTTTGGGTTGTTTTTGGGACATTGATACTGAAGAAGTCTTGGAGACGTGCCTATTTCCAGTTCGTGGATGAAAAGAGAGACAAAATCTTTGTGGCCATTGCTGTGAAAGTAGCTCGTTTAAGGAGAGTACAAAATGATTAGCCTCCTACTAATAAGTAAACAGAGGTAATCCCATTTTTTTGCGCTTTTCCTTTCTAAAGTTTCCTCTTTGCATTTTAAGTTCTAACATTCATGGTTGCTGTGGCAGCGCAGTTAATGCAGTCCATTACCAGAAAATGAGGAACCATGGAAGAAACAGAATCCAGGATTCTCAGATGGAAGATCTCTTCATTTGGCTCCGATAGTTTCCATCAGACCTAGAGAGGAGATTTATTCACGTTTTGTGTTCATTAGTGTCCATTTTAAGCTCATCTCTGGATGTTATCCGATTAACAGAAATCTTAAATTTGTCTTTCTTTTTCTGTTCACAAACCTGGCAGAAAAAAAGATATTGCTAAACATGAGCTATTTTCTTACATTGGTGGATGAGCAAATGTGAATTGAAGTGAACACAGAGTTTAAATGTTTATAATGCGTTTGCTTCTAGTAACAAATTAAGCTGGAAATTAACTCAGACATCCACCGCTAACTATTCTATGACCTCATGTCAGTAAGTAGTCTGGGGATCAAAGTCAGCTAATTTTAGTGGCATCATCTCCCATGGTCAGTAGCTTTAGATTCTGCTGTCCAATTCAACAAATTTGATAAGCGGCAGGGAAGTCGTTTTGGTGAAATCACCCAAGCAAATCACCCCTATGTTGTCATATTCGCACTCCAAAATTGGATTTGGTGCTAGCCCATCTCTGACAGTCAATAGCAAGTGTAACTTTTGTCCTTCAGTTCAATATGCTAGCAATTATACAAACCAAAGCATAAATATATAAAACAAGAAATGTGATAAAAGTTACTTTTAAGTAAATGGTGGAAGTCATGAAGATGAATGCAGCATTATGGAAGGTTCGTTTTGTGTCCAATATTGAAATCTGTATAAATTTGAAACCATGCTAAACCCTGGTGAGGGGTGATATCAGACCATTTCATACTCCTTGATTATCTCAGGGGCTGTTCAAATTCTTGTCTTTGTTTGATCACTTAACTTTTATGCCTAATCTAATGTCTAAATTATTGGCTACACTTTTTAGGCATGCCTTCATTTTCCTCAACTGCTCTTACTTTTATAATTCCTCTCGCCTCCTTCTCCTCAGTTTAATAAATTTCAGGGTAATCCTGATGATTTTTTTTTCCCCCAAGAGAATTCAATGATCCCAGAATTTGATTCATTGAGTTCAAGGGTCAGTTTGAGGCCGGCTGGAGCACTAAATCAGAGGATAGGTTGACAGTCTATTTCACAAGGAGCTCATATTGAATTATTTTCTTCTGTTTCACGTAATAAACCTTGACTTGACAAAACCAAGTTTGGAGATAAGGTTGATGGATGTGAAATTGCTTATGGCAATTCCTTATTATTGGTATGTTGAATACATTTTTATCTTTACTCACAATTGAGAATTGCTTAGACCTATCTTTCAACATGATGCATGGGGCTAATTTCGGAAAGGATTGGCGAAACAACTGAGTATCTGATCTGAACCTCTATGGAAATTCATGTGAAGGGATTGTCACTGAAGCATGTTGAATTTACCTCACACTTCTGTCGGATCTTTCCTTATCATCTGGATCCAACCCTTTGGTTTTCAATGTGAGAAATGACTGGATTCCTCCTTTCAGTCTACTTTCCATTGCAATCAGCGGTCGCAAAGTGGGCCCTGCATTCCAAGCGTAGCCCAGAACTAACAGATATCTTTGAAGTGACACTGGAAAATTTTCATTTCAGGCAACATACCTGAATGGGTTTGGGAGTTTTCACCTTGGATTTCCAGGTTAGACTTCTCTGAAAACCAATTAAGTGGAACTCTTCCCGTCTCAATAAGTTATAAACTTTGAGCATGGGCTGATTTGAGTTCCGACCACTCAGTGCGGCAACTCCCAGTTTGGCCAAATGTGACGAATCTTTCCCTGAAAAACAGCTTACTTTCTGGACAACTTCCCAGGAAAATTGTCCGCGAGATGTCAAGGTAGGAAAACCTAGATATTTCTCAAAACTTCTTGAACGGTAGCATTCCGCCATCCATGAGTATAATGACAAACTTAAGTTTTCTTGACCTGTCAAGCATCATCAATCTGAAGCACTACCTACCAATTGGCAGGCTTTGCAAAGTCTGATGGTGATAGATCTATCCTACAACAATCTATCTGGCAGGTCACTAGCTCCATGTGGCTATTACCATCCCTATTCTGGTTAAAGTTGAGAAATAACAATCTTTATGGTGAGCTCTCCTCAACCTTACAGAATTGCACAGGCTTATTTACACTTGATCTTGGATGAAATAAATTCATTGGGGCCATTCCAAATCTGTTTGCTAAAACCCTTTTTTTTTTTTTTTTTGCCATAATTAAGCCTAAGAGCCAATGTGTTGGTTGGAAATATTCCTGAAACTCTGTTACCTCTCCAGTCTACACATTTTGGGCCTTGCACATAATAATTTATCAGGTTCCATTCCCAAATGTCTTGGCAATTTAACATTCTAACTGCTTTGAAATTGCCAATCTTTCTTTTCAAATTTCTGCCATCAACCCTGCGTATGTCGCACTCTAGACATGCGGAGTTGATTGTGAAAGGAAGACTCGTTGAATATGCTAACATAATTTCACTGGTAAATATCATAGGCCTGTCATACAGCAATCTATTAGGAGTGACACCAGAGGAGATAACAAATATCTCAACTTTACTGGCCCTGAATTTGTCCTGGAACCAGCTAACTGGTGTGATACCAGAGATTATTGGAAGCTTGAAGTAGTTAGAAACTCTTGTCCTTTCATCTAACCTTCTTTCTGGCCCGATTCCTCCAAGCTTGACTTTTTTGAACAACTTGAATTTGTCGTTCAACAACTTGTCTGGACAAATTCCATCTACTAATCAGTTCCATACCTTCAATGATTGATAAATTTACGAAGGTAACCCATATCTTTGCTGACCTTCAATGCCAACCATGTGTGACACCACCAACAATGGTAAAGCTGGAGTAAAGATTAAGAAGACAAAGGTGAAAGTGATCCTGAAAGTTTATGATTCTACATAGGCATGGGATCAGGATTTGTAGTGGGATTTTGGGCTGTTTGTGGAAGCTTGGTCATCAAGAAGTCTTGGTGGAGTGAAAGATAGGCTCCTTGTGTTCACACACATAACTCGCAACAAAAAACTAGAAGGCAAAGGTAGAGAGTTTGTGGCCCTCTTCTTCTCGCATTTTTTTATTTTTCAGCTTTTCGGAACTTATATGTATATAATTTGTAGATGCACTTCTGGCTACTGCAGGACCCGTACGTTGAGAACTCGAGTCGTATAGGTGATCAAACTTGAGAGAAAAGAAGATCATGATTTAAAAGGGAAGGCGAATTATTACTCTTTAGGTTGTGTGTGTACTTCCGGTGATATTTCTGTTGGTTGTATCTTGTCTTACTGGTCATGATGGTCCCTGCAACTTGTACGAGGGATATGGGACTGTGATGGAAGAAGCATAAATAAACTGGGGCATTTTCCTTTCCCTGTATTTGTACCACTCTGTAGTCTGTATACACAAAATTGCTGTACTGGGAGCTGATAAAATCTGTAATATATGCAACCTTGTCATGTTCCTATTTGTTTTGTTTTTCTCTCACTGGACATTACAGTGACTGACTTTATCTGCTAGGGAGGATGAGGCTTAAATCAAACTGAAAAAATGTTGGAAATTCTCTTCATACTATTTCTCCTTTTCATGCGCTTCTTTCTATTGGTAATTCTAGCCGCTCAGTGATTTTTTTCTCCTCTATAACAACACAAACACAGGCAAGCAAGAGGAACCATTTTCATTTTTCTCGATTTTGGAAAAGCTCAATAAGCTCTTGCACAATATATTAATACATAGAACCCAGTTCATGCTAGCTCTCTTCAGAAGAAAGACAAGTATAGTTGAGAAAGTATTTTAGATTTCCATTCCTTACAGTTGTGCCGATACCGTGCTGCTTTTAAGAAGAACAGAAAAAAGCACACGGGAAAAGCTTATTACTGTCCACCACTATAGGCAGGGGTCAGCCCCCTCTTCCCCTCACTAAAGCTCAGGCTCCGCACGATATTTGGAAGGCAGCAATGTGCATAATGAGTTGGTTTCTCTTTCCTGGGTTTGGAACCTCTGTGTGGAGTTGTTTCACTGCTGCAAACAGAGCTCTCTACAGATCGATATGGACTTCTACTTGTACGTTTTGGAGGGAGGTAAACGGCGATAGGCTTGCCATTGACTGTATCTTGGAAACTTGGGTTCTCATCAGCCAGATCGTTACTGATGTTCTCTCGAAAGAGCTCAATTAGTTGCTTCTTCATATCAGCTGGAGAAGGTTCAGGTATTGACCTGGCTGAACCAATAATATAGAGAGATTCTTCACATGGAGGAGTTTCGATATAGCTGCCTTGGTGAATAGGAGTAGTGCCACATGATGGAGTAAAATCTGCAAAATGATGTAACCTAATGGTAAACCAAAGACATGCACATAGAAATATCAACAATGATTCATGTTAAAGAAAAGTTTCTTGGAAGAAATTAAGCCACAGAAAGAAATTTCAGGGAACCTCACCACCATCGACACTGAGGTAATCTTCACAATCAGACTCTAGCCAGGGATAAGAATCAAAAAACATATCCTCTCGGGTACCTGAATAAGTAAGAGGCATACTTCAGACAAATGCTAGACAGGTTTCGAGAACAGATCAAGAGGAAAAGCAACATAAATACAGACAGCAGACGCAGTGTGAACCATGATACAAAAACTGCAGGAGCGGCACCACATGAGGACCTTAAAGAAAATGATCTTAAATGATGCCAAATTGCATCTTGATGTACTAACATGCACCAATTTCAACTTTATATGATAATGGAAAATGGATAATCAGTTTTTCTTGTTGAAGACATAAATAGGGCACAAATAAATAGAAGATCCTCAAGATTTTCATATTAACCAGAGCTTTGTTAAGGACAATATCCGTAGGATAACTTGGCCTCAAATAGTCAAATGGCCATCTACAAGCATTAAGTTCTAGGATTCTATGGAGTTTTATGAGATTAAGTGATTATATAATTCAACGTTTTTTCAGATTAAATCATAAACCAAAACTGCAGTTTGTTGAATGCTTTGCAGACATCATGGAGACTTTGGAAAGACTGCCTAGCATCTATTCAGACCTGTTATAATGGAGTACTCACATATAACTCAACCTAAGATTTAGGATAGACAACTGAAGTATTAGTGGAAGACCTACTCCTATAGATAAAGAACAGAACTATGCACGAGCAAACTGCAGAACCTCGCCATTATCATGAAGACAATTCATACACTTCCTGTACAAGAAAGAAGTTATCATTTGCACCTGAAACTCCCTTTATATTTTCATCATCGGGTCCATGAAAGGAGGTAAGTCAACGAATCACGTGACTAATAAGAATTTCATCACTAACAACAAACAAGATGCAGCCAGCTTCATCCACCAAAATTAAGGTCACAGCCTAATGAGGGACATCTATCGCATTCCCTTTCAACGTTTATAGGATCAACACCTATTTCAAAATTTCAGATTCACATACCATTCAATTGGAAAGCAAATCAGGAGGAAAAAAATAGATAAGGACAGGAGGTAATAATGTCACACAAAAGAAGGAAAGTAGACATGATAAAATAAAGTTAGAATCATACTCAAGTCATTTAAACTGGCTTGATAAGGCATTGGAGACAAGGACTGAGGCTTGGAATTGAGTTCAGTCATGGAGTGATCACCATTGACTGTGATGCTGCCCCTTTTCACAGGTGATTCATTATGGATACAGTTTCCTCGAGAATCAATGGAGCAACTGAGTTTCATAGAAGGGCCGGTTTTCTTTTGAACTGAAGCACAATTGCCCATGTCTGCAACAATACTCTATTAGTCCTGTACTGAACTTGCATTATTTAGACCCTGTGTGTGTGTGTGAGAAGGACTTATTGTTGTTGGGCAAAAGGTTGGTCACTCCAACTAACATCTAGGGAGGAGTTGATTGGTCTTGAAAGCGAAGTAATGGCATTTGCAGAGGGACCCCACCCTTTCTTGAAATTTCATTTTCTTGTTTTACTTTGTACCACCACTACTATTTCTTAGTGGCAGCTGCAAGACAAAGAGAGAAAGCTGCTTTTTGGGTGGTTCCCATGATTTTTAATTTGAAATGAATAGGCCCTTTTGAACTATTGATCTTTTTTGGTGTTTTATCATTGAACGCTTATTGGCTTGAAAATCAAGTGGATTTGAAAATGACAATCATGAACCAGCTGAACTTGAATAAATGAATAAGGCATTCAGAAATCCCAAGATCGCCCCATAGTTTCCCAGCTATATGGCTCCAAAGAATCGTTTACTTGGCGTGAGCCTTTATTTTTATTGGTTTGTTGGCCCCTAGCTCTAAATACAGACCTAATTGTCTCAACTGTTTAAGAGTTGAGCAGTGATGCAATGCAAACCTGTCTTTCATGAAGCAATATGAATTTGATAAAGAAAGGATGAATTAATATATGAGCACTTAATTATTTAGGTAGATTTATCTTAACTTCACCTGATCTAAGAATCCAACCCAGAATAGTAACAAAGGGACTGGAAGTCATGAAATTTTTAAGAACACGCAACAAAGTAATTACGTCATTCCTTTCTGGTGGAAAAGATAACTTCAACTATATATGAAATGAAAATGATGTTTGCAATCCTTCTTTGCGGTTATTATTAGCTAATTTTGGTCCCAATATTGTTTTCCTCTTTCCTTTCCTTCTTTTGGGTTGCTTTGGGAAGGAGGTTTGGTGCATAGAGCATGTGGCATGTTGACATATTTTGAGTTAAGACACCAATCAACAATTTGTTCCACTTGGTTTAAGTTTTCCGACATGGTACAACATTATGCAGTTCCATCCTGTAGAGTTAGTGGTATACCAGACCCGAAATTTCAATCTAAGCAGTCCATTTCACTGGCTTGCTCTTGAGAGAAACATCAACTGTCAAACTCCTATTTTCACTTGCAGCTAATTTTAGATTTAGATAATCTTTTTTTCACTTCATGAAACTGCTGAGCTAGTCTAGCAAAACTCCATTTGGATTGAGTATATACATCCACAGTATGACCAAAAAGTAATGATAAATACAGATATATTCAACTAGGAATTATGATCCTCAACTTTCCCAAGTAATGCTCCAAACTACGCTATCAAAAACAATGGATTTGTTGTTTTTCCTATTTGCCTTCACCTGGGTTCCTATGCATAAACTTCAAAATTAAAGTTTATTTGGATCTGGTTCTTGTAGCGCCAAAGTCTCTGTTTCAGTGTTTTGTCTTCTATAGATCTCTTTGATTTCAAGGCGCAGACACAAAAAAGACGGAAGTAATATCACAGTTAATGACAAGCTATTGCAAGTTCAATGATTCCTACCATTCAACAAAATTTCCCCATAGCTTGTAACTTGTGGTTGTGTGCCTTCTAATGTGTAGAAAAGCAGCTTCCCTAATTTTAAATGAGTGTCTGTATGCACCTAAATAACCCAAAATTTCATCTAAAATATGCAGATTGAGACGATCATTTAAATTATAAAATGCATAGCACTTTGCAAATTGTCACCTAAAACCTGCCACTTAGTTTAACTTGCTCAGAGCATACTCAGCAGAAATTTCCGTCACAGACAAAAACTAAAGAAATAATTTAGGAGTTGTTGCTATGGTGTACTGCTGTGCACATTGAAGCAACATGCAGGTCCTAGGATGCCGCCAGCACCTTGTGCAAGTAAAATCTACCAATCAATATATTTAGAGTGGACACCACAACAAAATAGCAGAACCATATAGCATTTCTAAACAACTATCAATGCTGAAACTGTAATTGAAGTGTCTATTCACATGAAACATATAAAAAGCCAATACAATAATTCACCATCATTTCAAATGATGGAACTAATTATTCTTACATTTTAGTCTCTACTCTGAGTCTTCCATGATCATCTTGTCCTCTACTGATATTTCTCTCACTCTCCCCCCAGCCAAACTTTCCCAACCTTTTGCTCAACGCAATCCCACGAAAGCAACCATTGTTCAGAAATCATTAACTTTAGGAAGTATGAATTACAAAGATGAGGTAGAAAATGGGATGAAGACTGGACTAACAGAAGGGTATTCTTGAGGAGCAAGCCTCTTCATTGTGGAACAGAAGACGAGGCAACCACTGAAGATGGTCAGGCCCACTAACAAGATCACTGAGAATAAACCGGTAAAGAGGATAATCCTATCAGTATTTTGCTGGAGTGAAGAGATGGTTCTGTTATTGAGGAGAGCATCAGCTCCAGATTTTACATCATGGCTTGTATCCCTGTCTTTTCATATTACTGTTTTAATATAAGAGTAAGACAAAATAAAATATAAAATCTAGAAAATATATATTTGCCAGCTTTAAGGCCCTGTGGCTCTAAATAAGCTGAAATTCCTTCCTTTTCTGCCTCCTCTTAGGAATTAGCCAATAGAGAACTTGTCCAGTGGTGGAAGTTCGGTGCTTAGTTTTATTAATACAATACGTTATCATTCAACTTCTAACCCATACCATCATCTTCCTAAATTATCAACAATTGTACTGCATGAAAAATTTTCTACGAGCTAAATATCAGGCACTTAGGCACAAGTTGGTGCAATGGAAACCACATTTTTTAACGTCCTAAACCAAACCCTAATCCTTGGGGAAAATTATCATACTTTTCTTCACTAACCAAGTCCTCATTCAACGAAGACAACGACAGCACCAAGCCTAAAGCAAAATCCACTGCTTTACAAGAAAAGAAATCAAGCCTAAACTATGAAACAAGAATTAACTTTTAAACTCCACACACATATTTTCATTGTCCTATTCAAGCCTTAATATGCATAGCAATGCACAAACAAAACGGAAAGCTACTGAAAAGAAAGCACTCATTCAAGTTCACACAGAAGCATGCATCCAAATTGCATATGCAAACAACTGACACAAACAGCTGAAAACAAAGAAAGAGTAAATGATATAATTAAAAAAGCAAGACCTTTTGTCTCAATGTGCAAGTTGCTATCTCATAAAACCCAAAAACCCTGATCAACAATTTAATTAAAAAAAAAAAAACACAAAATTGCTAATGCATTATTATCTACCATACATTATATTGATGCCACTATATATATTTCATTCATAATTCATCCCTGTAGATAAATATAAAAAATGCAGATAGAATGCATTCATCAGGTTCCAAAAAATCATTCTGCTCCTAACATAAGAACAAATTGAGGGGAGAAAAAAAAAAAAAGAATCACTTGTACTCGAAAGTTGGCACTGGTGGTGCATCAAAACTCTCCAAAATCTCCGTCTTACTACTTCCCGCCGTCGATTCCTTGTTCTTCTTCTCTCCACCAAACCACCCACCGAACCACGAACCCGACTCAGGCTCTTGGGTCTGGCCCATGGGGAACCCTCCAGGCCCACCACCAGCCATAGCAGCCATGGGGTCTTCTTCAATCATCATAGGCATACTCTGTTGATCACTCATAACCTTGTTCAGCATAATTCCAGCTCCTTCTATCAAAGCCAGGAGAACGCCACCAAATGCAGCTGAGCGAGCGGAGGCTCCGAGCCCTTGCCGCATGGAGAGGAAGCCTCCAGTGGCGGCGCCGGCTATGATGGAATTCCACGGATCCTCCTTCTGGCGGAGGTAGACCATCGAACAGTCAAAGGCGGAGAAGAGGCCTCCCCACACGGCGAAGCTGCCTCCAACACGCGGCGCGTTCATACGAACGGCTTGTGTGCCGCCAATAAGACGTTCACCGGTGGGAGAGTTGTAGACACCTTTTATGAAGTGGAAAGCGGAGCCGCCAACAGCGCCCATGCCAAAAGCGCCGCCGATGTCGTCCAGAATACGGTCTGGACACGGCTCTCTAGAAGTCTCTGGCGTCCCCATCGATCGAAATGGGCCGGCGTTTTAGGGGATTTTTTATTAATTAATTAATTCCGGTTCTTAAAGAAGAGGGAACCCGGAAACTAGCTCACTAGGTTTACTTTCTTTCAGCCTTTTAAGTCCCTGGGTTCTTTTTTGTTTGCCCGCGCCCCACGCTATCCCTTCGTTTCGGACTTTGTAGTTCCATTAGGTTTCCTTAAATTAATAAGATCTATTCTTCTATATTTACCATAACTTATTATGTTAATTAATTAAATGATGGGGTGGATTATTAACATTCATATTATATTATGACATATGAATTATTCAAATTCTTAATTTTTAAATGTTTTTTCCCTCAAATTCAATATGGGCCAAATCCTTAAAAACAAACTAGTTTGAAGTTCTAATAAGAAAATTAAGCTATCAAAGTAAAAACTAGGGCTATGTAAAATCAATTTAGTGTCTACAAGGACTATGGAGGGGTACAAAAGGGTTGCATGTAAACAATAGTTTTTAATTTGAATTTTTTTTTTTTTTTTTTTTTTTTTTTTTTTTGCATGTAAACAATAGTAATTAACTTTTTTGAACTTTGTTTTTTTTTCCCCCTTATTTTCTCTATCAAAACAAGATCCCTTCGTGAAGGTCCAAGAAGATTTTTTTGTTTATTATCCATTGAATTTTCGGTGTAGTTGTTTTATTCATAAAAGTATTTTAAACATGAGTAGCAAATTATATTTGTAGTGAGAATGCATATCACTTTAAAAATAGTCATCATTCACTTTGAAATTACATAGTTTTCAAGTTTTATCGACCATCAACAAAAAAAAAAAAAAAATACCAAAGAAAAAAATGAAGATACGAAAAGATGTTTACTCTAGGATAAGTGGCAAAAAAGAAAAAAAAAAAGATATTTGGATTCGAAGTTATAAAACCCCAGAAAAATGAAGTTGGTATCACTTAAAAGTTATGCCTGGCTAAGAAAATGGTAGCCTGCGAGAATAGCAGTCGAATTCTCCATTGTGTACGGAAAAAGAGATGTTATTTCATAAGAAAATAATAATAATAATAGATATAAAATGAAAATTATAAATCATACAATCAATACCAGATTCATTGGCAGGCTCCACCGATCCAATCTAATTGCTTATATTGTATAGTTTTATTTTCTTGCGAAATAACATTAAATTGAAAAAAAGGGATCGAAGCAGCATGCAAGAAATACGGGAAGGAAAATAACGTTAATTCTCATGTAAGGTTTAGCATTATCCTTATGAGGGTATGAAGACCAAACCCTGGTGTATTCAGGATGGGGAATTCATCCTCTTCTTTTATTTCTAAATCCTAGAAATGTTGCCCTTTCGATCAGCTTGTCAAATTCCTATTTTCACTACAGTAAAATTTTTGGTTCAGTTTCCTAGTTTTATTCTTTTGCAGCTAACTCTGATAGGATTGGGCATCCAGCCATCCAGAGTCCACGACCATAACAAGGAGAGATTATGACAACAATAAGATGTCAAAAGCATTGCTCTAAAATAACTCGTGAAAATAATGCAAGGCATTTTCATGTCTCATTGCTAAACCTCTAACCCAGTCAACATCATTTTGACACCGTGTCATTGCTTTTGACGTGCCTTCACGGGAGAATCGTCCTTCCTTCCTGTGCAGTAACTTAAAAAATGAAAGTTCATTTTGACGTAGATCCCCCTTACGGCAAACTATTTATTTTGTCGTCTACAAACTTCTTTGCTTTCGAGACAAAATATATACAATGGATGAAATGATATAATAAAGAAAAATACTAAACGGCAGCTACGGTTTTCTATACTTTTTGCAGAAGAAATAATGACAATACATACCAACCTAGACAATTTACACTTTCCTAACCATGATAGGTTCGCTTGTCATTTGTGGCCGTGTGCACGATAATCATGTGCTGAGCAATTTCCGTAATCTAAAATGAGTTTATGGATGAAACTTAAATATAGCGATGCAGCAAAAATTTCAAGTATGCACATTGAGACAAACATTTAAATTATAAAATGAATGATGCTTTCCAAATTGCCACCTCATACCTTCTACTCTGTTCAATTTCCACACTATATTTCTTGGATTGAAACCAAGAATGATAGCTAAGCTTTTGTGAGGAGAAAATGAGGAGCATATTCAACAGATAAACTTGCATTACAGACAAAAAATAAAGAAGTAATTTAAGAGTTGTTGCTACCGCTAGGGCATACTGCTGTGCATGGTGACAACAAGCTCGGGGGAGCAATATCGATGATAAAATATAGTTGAAGAGAGACTATTCATATGGACGATATTAAAAGCCAAATACAACAATCCACCATCACTTTCACTGATTGAATTAATTAATCATATTCCTATCTCTACTCCCAGAATCGCCCTGTCCTTTATTGACAATTCTCTCCCTCTCCTCCAGCTACTGTCCTCTCATTTTTTTCTTTGGCACAATCCTATAAAAGCCACCTTTTACAATCATTAGCATCATAAGCATGGATTGCAAAGATATGGAGGAAAATGGGATGCGAACAAGGAGCTTCCGTTATGAAGACTACAACAACAGAAGGGTGTTTTTGAGAAGCTATCCTCTTTATCATGGAGCAGAAGATGAGACAACCAATGAAGAGACGGCCAGTGCCACAAACAAGGCCACTGAGAAGAAACCCATCAAGAGGATGATCCTATCAGTAATTCATTGGGGTGAAGGGAAGGTTCTAGTACTCAGAAAATTTAAGCATAAGCTCCAGGTTTATATCATTGCTTGTATGCCTGTCAGCTTTAAGCCCCCTACAGCCCGAATTTCAGTTTAAAATCCAGCATTTCTGCCTGGCTTCTTCAAAGCTATACTGTTTGCATAAAACATAAACTAGGTATGTAACCAATTACAAATATCAATACATAGTCTCTCATTTCTCAAAAGGTGCAGAAAACAGGTTCCTCTATTCATTAGCAGCAGACTCTCTCTCAATCATTAATGTAAAGATGAAAAAACAAAAAAGGAAAAAGAAAGAAAATCCACACATCAAAATGGTTCAGTGAGAGCAAATCTTAAACTATTTTTGGCTCAAATACAAAAGTTATCAGATACCTAACAGCGTTAGAAGATAAAATTTTCAGGTGAAATCACTTTCTGCAATCCCCTCCCAGTGCTCAAGGCATGTCATAATTTCAATAAAAGAAAGAGCCAGAGGTTATATGGCATACACTGATGCTTTTCTATAACTAATTCCAGCAGAAAACCCTTTGGAATCTGGTGATCAGCCGTGTATGAAAGAGAATGCACCATCAATAAACACATTTGTCAAGAAAACAAGTTTATGAAATGATGCCAAAAAATGTTATCAATTCAATTTTATCACATAAACCATTACATCACATGGGTGACATATTTACCCATAAGAAAGAAAGATTGAGCTTACTTCACGTACAGAGACAACAAATTTCTATCTCAGAAAAAGATTATCGACACTCCCATCGTGAAGCATCCCACAGCAACCCAGGGGCTCAAACGTTCACCTATTTCAGCAGTCACAGAAGAAAGTACCAGAATGTCAGATAGTTGATCACATCCTCAATTACCAAAGATCTATAAAGATATATTTGCCATTCTAATTTTCTTCTTCATGGTTTGCATTAGTTTGACAGCACCACCAACTAAATATAGAATTATTTTGCCATATAGCTCCATACTTTTAACAATTAAATGTATAATTCCATAGTAACTAACTTAAAAGTTAAAACCTTTAAACTTGACTTTTATTTTAGTCCCAATCCAAATGCTTTGAACTCGATAAATTTTAGTAACCGTGTCTGAAACCTGCTTCAGTTGACACAAACTGCTAAGAGATCCAATTATCAGGATTCCCCTTCCACTCTCTCATCTAAGACTCCTTGGTCGTCCCACCACAGTCATCAAATTACGACCACTACCCAGATACCATCACACAACATAATTAATTTCCCCCATTTTATTTATTGAAAAAAAAGTCTTTTAATTATTTCATTTTGATTGCACTGACAGCATGCTGATGGAGCACTTTGTTTTCACATCCAATGTCCAATATGCACATCTTATACTTCATCTTTGCTAGAATAATGTAAAACAACAATGATTTCTTTTTACAAAAAAAATGAAATCTTCTTTTGACAAATTAAGTCCATACTGTCAACTAATTGAAAAAATGGCAAAGAATCTTGCTGAGAAAGCCCACCTATTCTGGCTGCCTTCCAAAAGAAACCACGAAATCTGTCAAAAGGCGTATTACAATGGTTAGTTCCATAATCATCGATACATATTAGCCATACACTAACACAACTGCTGTGACCATAATTATCTCTTGATAATGCTAACTCCGCCAAACATGGAAAAAGAAAATATCAGTTATATAATCAAGTGCAGTGAAAAGAGAACAAACGTGACCTGAAAGGATTAGAGATAACTGATATCACAAAGTTTTAGGATAATACATTCAGTTAAACAGAGAAATAGAGAAGATACATTTTTTTCTAGGAGTGTTAATATGCCAGAAAGTTTGGCTGCCCCTCCCTGCTGTTTTACGTGGAGGGGATTTAACTTAAGTTTCATTAGACTAAGAATGGATAACTGTTAACTTAAAAAAGATTAATCATTCATTCCCATGGTAATGCCTGATTATGAGATTCCAAATGCAATGATCGTTGTGCTGTTGATGATGACAGAAAATTGGAAGCCAATCACATAAAATCTGCTCTCTTGGTTGTCGCTTTGCTTACAGTAGCAATTCTCAAATCTCTTGTAACAGAATCTACAATAACCAAACCATCTTGTTTCATGTGATCTAGGGTCCTATGTTCAGCATATTATTACTGATGGTATTCGCAATGGTAGTTGATGTTGTCATTTATAAGGTTTTTTTTTTTTGTATTTTTTATCATGATCATTGGTAGACTTTTAAGCACAGGGATCCAGGTGTTATACATCAGGCATTCCCATTTTCATACAATTTTATTACATGAATGAACTTGTACATCACAGATTAATGCACAGTGCTTTAAAAAATAAGTATTTTCCTACTTCACCTCTTGATTTAGATGGGAAACCGACTGATTTCACAGCACCAGGAGCAGGGATAAAATAAATTGTTGGCCAAGATAAGGATGCAAGAGCCGCCTCCAACCATCCCCAACACATTTAACAACCCCAACTTTTTTGTCATGATCCATGGACTGGTGGAAAGGAAGTAACTAGGGGGGCATCTCATGTTCTATTCAAGGAAATTTACCCTACAACTGATAATCAGCAGGTTGACCACTGCTACTGAACATGTTTCGCTGGGAACAACATACCGCAACTTCAGAAATAGCACTGGGCAGGCCTCATGTTTTCAAAGTGATGATATTGATCTAAAGTCTGTGTTGATCTTAGAACCTTAAAGTCCCTAACGTAGTGCCCTCATAGAATCGGTATCTTCAAGGCTCAACCTTTATGTTGTGCAGATGTGACAAGCCATAGTGTTTGGTATTTTGGGACATGTAGTTTTAGGTGATTGAAAATTCCTCTTCAAACTGTATTGTTTTGTTGGAATGTTAACATTTTTGACATAATTATCATGGGCTTAGATGACCATTATAAACATGTAAAACCTAATAGCAGTGCAAGAGCCTCCAGCGACAGAACAGTTTCAAGATGGGGATAGTTAAATTGCAAATCCAGCAACATTATTGAGTTTGGAAGATCTTCAGCTTTAATAAGCTATCAATGGTATGGGTTTTGCTCAAACTACAGAAAATATTGGTGCTGCTACATTTCTGCAAATCCTATCATATGCTAAATGAAAAGGTTTAACTAAAAAGAGTGCCCAAAGCTCAGAGAAACTCCACCTATATGTGCATCTATTTTATACAGCATAAAATGACTGATGGAAACCCAGTTATTATTTTATAAACAGCGAAAGCAAACAATTTTATTTCATTGATGGGGAAAATTGATAGAGATGCTCATTAAAAACCAAAACAAAAGTACATGCATAACCTTGGATTCCTAAAAAATGTTGAAAAGAAAGAAAGGGAAGAGACAGCTGACACTACCCAGCTTCACATAATCTGAGTTTCCTAAACTACATAAATAGCAAGACAACATTGCGGTACAATGCAACTATTTTTTGCTGATAATAAGCAATCAGCTATGCACTCTTCAATCATCTGCTACAAATATAGACCCACAAAATAAAAAGATTAAGGGAAAAAAGGGAAATACCCAGTTCTCTGTTCAAGGATTGCTGGAAAGTGCATCTTCACAAAAGTGCATGTACAAATCCCCAACAGAACCACTGTCAGAAACGAATGGAAATTGAACAGTGCAGACTGAAAAAAAAAAGGAAAAAAAAATCCACGTCAAGAAAACAAACAATTACAGGTTAATAATAAGTAAAATTCTTCAAACATAATTTGATTTAATTTACCATGTCTTGCTTCTTATTTTTTAAGTGATGATGATGGCTTCTCTTCCTTCAAATCTAAAGTTACAGTACACCTAGCAAACTAAATCAATGAACAAAGAGAATGAGGAAATTGAATCGATGTTTGGGCAAATTATATTAGGGTTTTGCGGCAGAGAAATTTGAATTAAAATTACCTTGCAAAATTGCCAGATTATGGATCTCCAGAAGTGGCAAATAACAAACCGCGAGGAACCGCTTTTCTTGCTTCGATTCAAACCAAAAGGTGTTGTACCGGGCTATCAGTAGCAGAGACATTAGATTAGTAGTGCTCCATGCTGAAAAGCGGAAAAGGTAATTTTGGTCTGTGAAGTTACATGATATTTCAATTATAGTCCCTATACATTACTTGTTGGCAGTATTATTCTTAATTTTTTCTTTGAATTTGGATGGTAGTAGCTTTTTAAAATTTATAGTACACAAACACGCATAATCTAGTAATTGTGTGTCCAATAGCTTTTTTTAATTAAGTAGAATTAAATTCTCGATTTTATTTGGTTATTGTGCAAATAAAAATAGTTATCTCTCATTTTGTAATTTCAGATCTAACAACATTCTGATCAATAAAAAAAATATAACTTCAAATTTGCAGGTTTTATGCTCTCCCATCTGATAGGAGTACATATATAATCATCACTTACATCTGATTCGTACATGGTCAAATTAGGTCGGATGAAAGGTCTTTTCATTCGTCCGGTACCTAACCTAATTTTGATTTTCTTAATATTTTTTAAAAAAATGTAGTGTGGGTTCGACGAGGTTCCTTTATTGTTGGTATTACTCTTAACTTTTATGACATCTCATAAAATCTCACCTTAATAAATTTGTCAAAAAATCTCATACCAGTATTTATTTTTTAAGTTACATTTAAATTATTGATGTTAGATGTGATTTACAAATATAAAATTATGTCATTAATTGAATTAATTAGTAAACCTTTGGTGATTAATTTAGTTGTATGTATATATATGTGTGCATGTGTGCGTCATTATTCAGAACTCTAAAATATGGTCAAATGGGATAAACCTCTATGAAATTTTAATTCATTTAAAAATCAGTCTTTACACTTCTATAGATTTGACCTTCCTTAAACTTTTTTTTTTTAATTTAGTTTATCATATAATTTTCAACTATCAATTCTTCCTCAAATAATAATAATAATAATAATAATAATAATAAATTATTCATATTTTGAATTGACATTTTGCATACACATTGGGAAAAATGCAATCTATTAAATGGAAAATTTTTAGGGAAAAAAAATCAATATTGGAATATTGGAAAAATAGAAAATAATCTAGAGTAATCTTAATTTTTTTTGTTTTTTGAAGAGTTCTAAATAAATCTTACTGAATGATTTTTATCAAAACACTATTTATGTAACCATTATTTTAAAAAAAAAACTAAAGTTAGGACTAAATCTCAAAAAACAAAAAGTTCAAAAAGTCAAACATAAAATTAAAAGCTTATAGGCTGATTTTTAAATAGACTAAAATTCAAGATGAGTTTGACTCGTTTAGCCTTAAGAAATCGGTTGTTTCATGTCCTCGCATGTTGCTACGCATAAGCTTATAAAATCTGTTCGAGTATCTTAATTATTTTTGAAAATCTAAGTGAACGAAATTTCATAATTTTCTTCCTAATCTTGAAACCTATAAATAAGCTTGATTGTTCATTAATTTATATATAAGTATTTTGTAGAAATTGAGAGGTTATTTGGAGTTGTTATCTCTTGTATTCACTTCATTTTATAGTGAATTCATTTTTCTATCATCTTTCTCTTTAATTCTCCTATTGTTTCTATTTCTTTTATAACACTTTATCGGTACGAAAGCTCTAATCAATTGAGATAATACACCATGAGGTATGTACCTATCAAAAGAATTAATCATTTGTTTCAACCATTGAATTTTTTCTACTCAAGTGTTTTATCAAAAGATTTAAATTATTTAGATCATTAAGAAGTATATATCTAATTTATCATGTACTTTAAATCTAATGATATGTAGAATATGCATTTAAAAAAACTTAAATGATTTAATATATAGAATCTAATGATCTAATATATATTGTTTGAAAATTTTAAATTTTATTATTATGTTTGTTTTTATTTAAATTTTATTATTAAATTTTATTATTTTCTAATATTATTGTTATACTTTGCATTATAAAATTTTTATGATATCAACCATCACAAAACTTGAATAATTGATCATAAGTGCTTGATGCTTTGAGTTAATATCATCTACTTTTTTTATCTTGAATATGCTCGTGTAGTAGACATATCGAGAAAAAGAGTTTAAGAAATATTTTGAATCGATTTCATACTTGTTCGTGACTAAATAAAATAAAAAGATATTGATGAAAAAGAATAAATCTCATCAAATTGGATCTACTCCATTTTCGAAGTGAATGTGACAACTTATAATAATTTTAGACACGAACGAAGATGTGATTATACTCATGAACGTGGTCAAACTAATTATCATTATAATCATGATGACTATGATAATATATCTCACCACCGAAGTGAATAAACTATAAAAAAAATAAGAAAAGAATAAAAATGAATCAACTTAATATTCTAAAAATGAATGTTATAGATGTGGCATGAATAGACATTGGTTGCGTACTTGTCGTACACTAAAGCATCTCATTGAGCTTTATCAAGCCTCGTCGAAAAAAGAAAGAGCAAAATATAGATGCCAATTTTATATATTAAAATGATGGTAATTGAAAATAATAACTTGTTAGCTTTTTTATTTATAAATAAGATGTTTTATATTTTTTTATAATTTATATTGCTTAAAAATAAAAATAAATTTATTTTACTATTTATTTATGTTTATGAAGAATAAATTTATTTATTTTATTTTTATTTATTCTATATTAATATTGTATATGATAATATCAATCTAATAAAAAGTTCCGGAAGAACAACTATATTATTACTTGAAGATATAAGTTTAAAGGGTTTTAAAAAGTGAATATATTATTGCTCGAAGAGACAAATTTTTTAAACTCTAGAAAAACGAATATATTATTACTTAAAGAGATAAATTTTAAAGGTCCTAAAAGAGGAGATATATTATTACTTGTAGTCACATAATTTAAAAGCTCAAGAAGAGCAAATATCTTATTATCCGAAAGGATAAATTTTATTATAAATGATATACTATTCTCTCTAAAGTCTTATAGAAATTTGTTAAGTTTCAAAGTTATTCATCTAAATTGATATTATATCAAGACGACAAATGTGAAAAATATTAAATACTTATATATTATAATTATTATATCGAGTAGAAAATATGCATTGAAAAATGTACTCGTTTTTTTTCTTTTGGTCTTTATTACAAATATTGGAATGATTGAAACAAATACTGAAGTAAATCGAAGTTTACTAATTCAAATACTTTTATTATGTGGCATGACCGGTTGTGTTATACTGAGTCTTTCATTATGCAAAAAATTATTAAAAATTCATATGGACATCTATTGAAGAGCCGAGAAGATTCTTTAATTTAATGAATTTTCATATTACGCATGTCTTCAAGGAAAATTAATTATTAAGCCATCACAAGTAAAATTAAGATTGAATCTTCGGTATTTTTATAATGTATTTAAGGTGATATATATGGATCAATTTATCGACCATGTGGACCATTTAGATATTTTATGGTTTTAATAGATACATCCACAAAATGGTCACATGTATATTTATTATCTACTCAAAACCTAACGTTTTCGAGGTTGTCAACTCAAATAATTCAATTACAAGCATAATTTATAAATTATTTCGTTAAAATAATTTGTCTTGATAATGCTAATGAATTTATCTTTTAAGCATTAAATTATTATTGATTGGCTATTAAAATAAAGGTTGAACATCTTATTGCTCATGTTCATACTCAAAAAGGTTTAGCAAAATCATTTATCAAAAGGCTCTAATTGATAGTTAAACCATTATTTAAAAACAAAACTCTCGAGTTTATGTTTGGGGGCATGTAATCTTACATACGGTAATACTCATTCGCACCGGATCCATAAGTTATCAAAAATTCTTCACCCTTTCAATTAGTTTATGGTCATGAGCCAAATATTTCTTATTTAAGAATTTTCGACATTGCGAGTATATATTTGTCGTGCTCCTCCATAACAAACTAAAATGAGCACTTAAAGGAGATTGAGAGTATATTTTGGATTTGAATCCTCTTCAATAATTCAATATCTTGAAACATGAAAAAAAATATATTTTTACGGCTCGATTTATCAACTACCATTTTGATAAAATAGTTTTTTCAACATTAGGGAGAGAGAATAAGTAAAATAAGCGAGTTAAAAATATTAAAAATATATATATATTAAATGAAGTACTCTATCTTATATCATCTTGATCCTCGTATAAAATAATGTGAACTAGAAGTTTAAAGATAATTCATTTATAAGATATTGCAAACCAACCGTCAAATGTATTCTAAGATCCTAAATGAGTAACTAGAATGCATGTCCCTGCCGAGAATGCTCCCATTAGAATTGATATCTTATAAGGACAATCTATTAATGTTATAACAAATAAATCTAAAACACGCATGAAGTGTGGAAGACCGATTGGTTTTAAAGATAAAAATCCTTAAAAAAAAAAAAAAGGAAAAATAATCAAGACGAAAATATAAAGATGCAAATATTTATAAAAAAATGGTCCAAGATATTTTTTTGATAGTAAACTTCTAGAAGAAGTCCAAATATTTGAGAAAAATTAAGAGATTTTGATAAATTATGTCAATATAGAGAGAAAATAGGACCGAAAAGAAACATTTATTGATAAGATTTTTGCATATAATGTTACAATTGATATTTTGAATGAAAATAAGGATCCTAGGCCTAAATTTATTGAAGAATGTTGACATAGAGATGATTGACCCAAATAAAAAGAGCTATCCAGGTAGACTTATGTTTTCTTACAAATGAATAGTTTTTTAACCCAAAGTCAAAACATCCGAAAATGTTAAGTTAGTGAGATAACGATGACTATTTTTACAAAAACAAAATGAGATTATGAGATACAAAGCACGATTTGTAAAATAAGAGTTTTCATAAAGATCTAACATTAACTATAAAAAGACATATTCTCCTATAATGGGTGCTATTACATTTTGTTATCTCGTTAGCTTGGAAAAACATATGAAAAACTTCATATGTATGCATTTAATGAATGTGATCACAATTTATTTGTTCATTTAAAATGATATCTCTATGAA